CTTTTGATATTATTTTGTGCGTCAGCCACCGACCGTTACTCGATTCTTTTTGAACACGATCCCGTCGGATGAGTTGCGGAAATTCCCGATTAGGCGACCAATCGCGTTATCCCTGCTCACAAACGCCACTCGTTCACCGCAGTCTCTCACTTGCGCCTCACTCTCTGTTATCTAGGCAACCCCTTATTTTCGAATCGTAACAGTACATTGGCTCCGACAGTACGAAAGGGAGGATAGATTTTATGATACCAAAGAATTTTCAAGCAGAAATTTATAGATAGCAAAAAGGTGTAATCGCATTGCCTTTTGTGAGTTTGGTAAACAGAGTGCTGACATCCCTGCCTCTATACACTGCATTTAAATATTAAACAATCACAGGAAACTATCATCATCAATAAAATCATATTAATAAAATAAAAATAATAACAAAAAAGCAAAGACCCATTCAAAGCATAAAATTCAACATTTTACACTTATTGCCAAAAAAAAAACTTAACATTTGTCTATAAATCTTTTTTCAATATATATATATATATATTTATTTCGGAGTTGCTGATTTCGACTCCACCACGAGTCAATAATTTCTGGTAGCATGGCATTTAAATAAAAATTTTCTAATGCATTTACCATATATTTATTCCAGAAGTCATCATCTCTTTCAATCAAAAAATATTCTAAATCTACGTTAGTGTAGATGATAAAATAACACCATTTTCTTTTAGTTATATGCAGTGGACCCTGTTATACCTGATACATATAGTTGTGGTTTGGGTTCAAACTAGGTAATTGTAATAACTGCATTTATCGAACAATAATTAATAATTTTATTTTTAATAGCTCTTTAATATTTTTACTGCAAGCCGCATATGAACATTTAATCTCTGCAATTGAATTAGAATTTTTTAACCCATCTGGAGAAGCTCCTAACATTTTTTTTCAAATTTGTTAGAGCTTCAAATTTTTCTTTGGCCTTTTCTTCATTGTCAGTAGCAAATTGTATAGACTTGGGCAATTGTTTCATAAAGTTTTATCGGAATGCACAATACTTTTAACGGTATTTGGGATATTAATTCCGTCTCTCATTTTGACCTTTCTTTACTCCATTCCCTACACATTCGCTGACCACAAGTACCTTTTTCAATAGCGTTTACGTTACTCTGTGACAGCTTGATTAATAAATCCGACTTTTTTCTTTCATACACTTCAGGTAATATATCTGCAGTTTTCGTTTGTTCATCGTCGACGATATTATTTTTGCCAGAATCCGCACTTCGGATACGCAATTTTTTAATAGAGGTTTTAGTTTTATTAATCGTTTTTATTTTTTTCAATTTTTGTTCCACAAACGCCTTCGTATACTAACATTGGCCTCCCGAATTTTTTTATTTTTTTTTTGAATAACGGAATTAGGAGCGTACTCTTATTATTATAACTTATTGCCGCAGCAAAGCATCGCCCTTGATACGAAGCTCGTGCAGAAAAACTTATTCTTTTTCCTCCCACAAATTTATTAACGATAGAATTGTAGCATTCCACAGCATTGTTCTCAATATCAAAAAGTAAACTAGACGAAAAAGTTGCAATTCTATTTAAAACTTGTTTGTAAGGTTCGTATAAAACACCATTTGCGAAAGTAAAAAATAAAATATCATTTGACTGTCCACTTTTATAACAAAAATAGCTTGCACATTGTTCGTGATTGCCAAATATATGCTGGAAAAAAAAGAGGCTCATTTTTGCTAAATTTAATAGCACTTATAATAGCTGTTCTAAATTTTAGAATACTATTTTTAAAAACATTTTTAATAGTGATATCTCCTTTCGTTGTTTTAACTATTTCTCTAATTTTGGAACAATAATTACGAAGTATGTGATTTCTACATTCAATTTTTTCTATAAAATAATATGCATCATTTGGTTTTGCAGCCCGAACTTTTTTTAATACGCTACTATCCTCGTCGCCTATAATTCTCCTATAAAGTATCAAGTAAATCCCTCTAAGATAATTGAAACTTCCATGGGCATAGATGTTTGCTCCTAGTTTTTAAAACAATTATGTGTTGGAATTTCTTTTTTCTGTTTCATATAGATTTTACAGAAACTACAAAGTTTCTGTACATAAAGTATTTTTTTAGTTCTGGCACCAATTATACGTCCTACCCCAGACAGTGTATTGTAACGGTAGTATATGGACCTCCCTCGCCTTCACAGCTAATCGGTACTCTTCTTTACCTGCGTTTTGGTTTGTTCTTCGAAAAGTGCTTCGATGCTCTTTAGAACTCTAGCCTCGGCTTTACGATATGTCGCCTGGGATATTTGAGGGATATCTAGAGCTGAACAAAATTCTGAAATTTGGGAATAACCTACGCCCGTTGATCTAGTTCCACAAATAGCTGCATAATTGACTTTGTATATATGATTTTTAGGTTCAGTATAAAGATTACCGAATATTCCGTACATATGACATTTGTAGTAGAAAACACTTTTTAAACCATAACAATTTTCATGAGTTATTTCAATATTATCTAAAGTGCAACCCAACATATTATGACTGATTGATTTCAGTGTTGTTAATAAGTGGCCTATGTCAATAATTCTACGTCCAGTACTAATTTCTCGACGTGTCATGACCTTTAGAGTACGAAAAAAGTGGTCTCCCGTTTCCGTATGTCCGTCTGTCTGTCTGTCTGTCTGTCTGGTGTCTGTATCCATTTTTTATGAGACAAGTGTTCTGCGAAACTACTGGATCGATTATTGCCATATTTTATATGTATATTAGAAATATCATGTAGATGGTTAAACGCTAACTAAAATTTGGCAAATCATCTCCACCACCAATGGGATGACGTCATCTCCAAAATTTATAATACAAAGTTTTTTAAATTTGATAAAATTAGATACTCCTGGACTTGTGGTGTGTAAATCCGTGTAGAATTTTCACCCTAGACATCTAGAATTTTTGGAAAAAATTTTAACTTATCCGAGTTCTCATAAAAAAAATAAAATTCGCATAATGAAATTTAATAATTTTTCGAAAAAGCTGGGTTTGTTTTATTGTATTTCAAAGGCGAGAGAAGTTCTGTCGAAATATCCTTCGACCAATTTGCTTCATTCAAAATACATTCCGAGAGGTAACTAGGTATGTAGGTACCTACCTAAATTCCTAAGATTTTGGGTTGAAAAATTCCAAGATTACTAAGAAATACTTACAATAACGTACCTTCGTACCTACAATAAAATATTCTTGGAAATTTAATTTTACATTTTCTACCGACTTACAGAATATGCCCAACACGTACGAATTTTTATGGAAACAGGAATTTAAAAATAAGAGGAAGAATTATGGTCGGAATTATATATATGAACAAGCATTTTTTTGTTGTGTGTATTGCGAGTAAAGATCTCAACAGTCTCTCACAATGATTTTATTAATTTATTTTAAAACACATTTGGCTTTTTTCATTTCTTATGACAGTAAATTAGTTTAAACCGCATATCAAAAATTCTCTTTCAAGGGACTTTATGCTAAAAAAAAGTAGGACGTGCTATTTAAAAAATTATCTATGACGTCATGCACCTGTCAAATATCCCACAAAACTTTTGAAACTAATATTACAAAATGGCAATTTTTATATAGGTACCAGTAGACGTGTTTTTGCGTTTTTTACTTCTCGAACGTAAGCTAAGAAATATTGTTTGTTTTCTTTCATAGTATGTAGATAAATATTTTAGTTCCTTACTCTGCTGTACCTACAAGCTGGGATACACTTCCCCCGCTGACAATAGCAGTAATAAAACTAGTTATTGTAAAGAAAGTGAACGATTTTAACCCTTAGAGATCAGTGGCACCTGTCATAACGAGGTAGCATGGGTTGTTTTATAAGTTGTATATCTTTTAAAATAGAAATTTTCTTGAGGTGTGGTGGAGCCTTAATGTTAGCCATACAACAGCTCAAACATATTTTCAGCGCATAATAACTAATTTGGCTTTTTGTTTAAAAAGTGTAATTAGATTTCCTAGCCAACAAGAAAGCCGATTTGTTTTCAAAATTATTCTAATACTAGAATTGTACTCGATTGTACTGAATTAGAAATAGAAAAATGTAAATGTCTAAATTGCAGAATCAGAACATACTCATTTTACAAAGGTAGACATACAGTAAAATTTTTAATTGGTGTAGCTCCTTCAGGAACTATAACATATTTAAGTAAACCTTACGGTGGTAGGGCATCAGACAACGCCATATTCAACAAGGAAAATATGATTTCAAAATCTTCTCCAGGTGATGGGATTATGGTAGATAAAGGGTTTTTAATCGATAAAGAATGTGCTAACAAAGGAATACAACTGATACGTCCACCGTTTTTAAAAAAGAAAAAACAACTAACAAAGGCGGAAGCATTAAGGACTGCAGAAATAGCCAGAGCGAGAGTGCACGTAGAACGAGCTATCCAGCGAATAAAAAAAATTAAAATTTGTCGAAATATATTCCCATTTAAATTATTAAGAAATATTAACACTATTGTTATTGTCATAGTAGCTTTAACAAATTTGTCAAGTCCAATTTTATCTGTTGATAAATTTTAAGTTTTTCTTGTAATTATGTATTGTTCTATATTAGAAAAATAACATTTTGATTTTTGATAAGTTTATTATTTTTTTTAAAGTGGTTCACACAATACATGCAACATATTTTGGAAAAAAAACGCTTTTCAATTTTTTCAAGAGATCATTGCAAAATATTTCGTCCCGATCTATATTTAGCAGATAAAAAGATTTATCAAAACTTGAATCAATGATGAAATCGCAACCAAGTAAATTTAAAATTGCCAAGGACAATTGTATTTGGGCCATATACCCATGCCGTCTCTTCAATGTCCAACCTACCCCCTCTGAAAATTCCATGTACTCCAATGATGGAAGACATTCAGTAATGGTTTTTTTGCACCTATAAAAACAAGTTTTCAAAAAAAGTTTTCAGTTACAAGTTCGCTTGGTTCACCTAAAATAGGACACTTAATTTCCAATAAACGAATTGGTCGTTTATCCCGAAACACAATGCCATCAGGAGAACAGGCCAACCATGGATTCTTTTGGCACACAATCAACCCACACTGGATTACAGTTTCGGCACTTGGGAGATTGGTCATATATGCTTGCCGGGCAAAATCTTTTTGGTTGTTGCCATATCTTGTGGCATAGGTTCCCTTAAATGATTTGGGATAAAAATATTTCACGGCTTTGGTATGCCAGTCATCCTGACTGTATGTAAATAAGGTGTAACATCTTGAACCTGTAACATCATGTTAAATAAGCTCACAAAAATTATGAAAACAAACCGGTTATTCTATACTGCCGTTCTTGCATCCATGTGGCTTTGTTTTTAAATGTGTCTTTACAAATTACAAATCCGTCGCATGGATACAATTTGTTGTAGGTGGTTACACAACACCTCCGTAAGGGAGCATCATCCACAGTTTCCGACAAAAAATTTCAAACATCACTTTTCTGTCATGTCAAAAATTTTAATGTAGTCTATGCTTTATTGTCATTATTTCGGACAGCTACAGACACGTAACCAGCCTTTTATTTTGGAGGGGCCCAGCCCGGGCACTAATTTCAATTAAGAGGGCCTTTAAAAAAAGTCTTCATTAGTATAAATCAACATTTTACTTGGATCACAACCAGTATATAAACTTAATGGGGTGCAAATAGTTGAAATTGACTAACACCATGAGAATTCATTTAAACTCTGTGTGCCAGTCTGCATAGTGTGTAAAAGGCATATCAATTGTATCGGCTAATTGCTTAAAAAAGTTATCGACAAAACTGTTCACAGCAGTATCGCTTTACTCAGAGAATTATATTACAAGATAGGAACATAAAATTACTCATAGCTAAAATTTTCTGTTGATCTGAAATTTCGAATTTCCTTTACTTTTAAAATTTAAAATTAATTTAAGGGGGCACCAGGGGTGGCACAGGGTTTTGTTGGGGTGGCCTGTGCCCCCCAGGCCCCCCCTTGGTTACGTGCCTGGACAGCTAGAATGTCAAACTTTCAAAATTCCAGCTTACGCTACAGCTACTTTCATGTAAGTGTCAAATGTAAAAGTTAAAAATGACTGTCAAATATTTAGGTTAGAAACATCTAAGGTTGCTTTACACTATCTGACGACTGAATGACATTGACGTCTGAAATTTTTTGGCGGCAACTGTATATTAACCTGGTATATTACCTCACTCAATTCGCTCCGATAAGCATTGTCGCAAATTGCACTGAAGAGATCATCCCTGCAAAAGAAAAAAAAAAACAGCAGCAGCAAAAACTTTTAAATAAAGATGTGTTTATATCATTAACAATTGCTAAGGCTTGATGATGCCATTTATAACAATTATTTGATACAACCTAGACCTATCTTCAGGATTGAACAGCATGGGAGCTCCAAAATTCGGGAGAACTATTAAAAAAAAATAAATGATAATACGAAATCAATTTATATAATTTGATGTCTACCTTCAAAGCACTTTTGTACGAAATCTTCTGGAATAATTCCTGCCATACCACATTTGGAATGCTTCGATGACTTAACATGGCAAAATTGTTCCACAGGAACAACTTCTACTAGTTCTTCCCGCTTCCGTTTGCCCCATGCCTGGGGAACATCGGTGCAACTAAGCAGGCCTATATTCTGAGCACTAAAATTATAATGAAATGTTTATGATTTCAACAAGAAACAGTGCAGCTTCTCGTAAACATACAGTAGGGTGGCAACTATGTGCTTACATTTCCCTCCTGCTCCTGCTTTGCAGCTGCAGACACAGTTCCACTGTCTGTAATCTGATAAGACATTCCATTATTAGGTCTATATTAACATATTTTCAGAATGTCACATCACCTGAATAATCTGCAAACTGAATTTGAATTTCGTGAGGTGCTGCACTAGTTTTTGAGGCTATACACCGTGCTTCGATGTTTTGTCCCTCAAAAGTGCAATTGCCGATTAAGCCAGCCACAGAGAGAGAGAGACAGTACCTGCACGAGTTTCGGAATCGCAAATAAGATTTTTCGAAAATCATATCGTTGAGTAGTCAAGGTATTGCGAATCGGAGGTGATATAGTTGCGGAAGGCTACATTGAAAATTCAATGGCGAATAAAAGAAACATGCTAATCAGACAATAACAGTTGTACTTTCACCGATAAAAAGAAGCTGAAGTTGGATCTGAACAACCCAGAAGTGGAGGCAGCACGGGTTAGCGTGCGGAAACTAGTCACTTGCCGCACGCCGTTAGGAAATAGTTATTTACGCAATAAGTGGGATACACACATTATTATCGCACGCACATGGAAATTGCGCAAACGAGGGCGTCAGCCCGAGTTTTGCGTAACCATGTAAGTGCGATAGTAGTGTATCCCACGAATTGTGTACAAAATTTTATGTACAACTCTTGAATTTTTTATAAATAAAACATTTTTGCTGCTTTCAATCATGGACTAACAACTCTCGATCAAAATGTTGTGAATATTAATTAAAAGAAGCAGCTGCATCTCATTGTTCAAAATGATGGCAACGTAGTTAGCAACAGTGTAAACAGTAAACAAATTTTGGTTTTGAATATTTTGTTACTAAATCATCAGAATGAGTGCTTCAGAAGATCTGCCTTTAGTTGCTTTGGATGTTATTTCTGGTCTTGTTCCTCAGAAATCACGCGAAAAATATCAGCTGGCGTTTGAACGATATGCAAAATGGTGCAATGAAAACACTTCCTACATTAGTTCGTCGTCAACGACCCCACAATTATCAACTGAATCTGATGACATTAATTTGTTTCACTGTAAGAGTTGTATTATCAATGTATATATATAACAATAATAAATAGCAGGTCTCTTTGATTCTTTTGTATTCATGGATGTGTGTCCGATTTGACATATTATCGCACGCGTGCGGTTATCTAAAAATTATCGCACGCGTGCGATAATCTCAAACATTACGTTGTCCCAGTGAGTGCGATTTATAAGATATATCCCACGGTTGTATATAAAAATAATTACAACGCTCTTTCTGAAGTAGCATGCATTATAGACGCTAGAACCAGGAAAATTTTATATCTGGGAGTAAAAAATAAATACTGTCTCACATGCACACGTAATAAAAATTAAAAAAATTGGTCTAAAGAGTTTAGACAGTACTTCCCTCGCTGTCGGAAATATGACGACTGCATGTCTATTATGTTTTTTTTCGCAGTAGATTTCAAAGCATTCGGTTTTGTAGTTCCTGAGTAAACCAATAAAATAAATTTACCCATTCATTATTTGTTTTGAGTCACCCGGTATATGCAAATTCAAAAAATATGAATGGAATGATAAATTACAAGTATATCAGTTGGGATAGATGTAGTGAAATACTAAGAATAAAATTATTGTATGTATTCCCAGATTTTCGGGAAAATGAATTGGGTCGTTTTGAATATTGATTTGATATAATCAATAAAATAACGAAATAATTTACTCACGAATACGGCGCCGGCGTGTAATATAAGAGGGAACTGAAAATCGTGTATGTATAAGCATTCTTAATTTAAGATGACAAGCGTAACAACATACGTGAGAGTCAAACAGAGAAACTGTAAACAAAACGACCATCGGTTTTATTGCTTCGACTTCCGCTTATTATATAAAACATTGGGTTTTATTTTAATTTTTGATTATAAACATGTCCTAGTCAGCGCACAAAACAAATGCACGTCTGTAATGTTAAAGTAGATGTAAATAAGTGTGTTACCCTTATGTTTCAACCGAGTTTTTACTTTAAAAAATTTTGTGTCTACCAAATTGGGTTGGTCCAATGTAATACTAATAATAAGTGTTGCCTTTAATTTAATCAATAAAATAAATTGACTTCATTAATTTTTTTGAGCCACCTCTTAAGAAAATCTAAAAAATATGAATGGAATGATAAATCACAAGTACAAACTCATCATCTTTTTTGCATTTTAGATAGGATTTATTCAGCAAAATTTAAGGGTGACGTCATCAATTTTTTTAGGAGGGATGAACAAATACATTTTGAACAAAAGTTTACCATGCTTATAATAACTTTAAAATATCTCCAAGATTTCAAAGCATTCGGTTTTGTAATTCCTGATTAAATCGATAAAATAAATTCACGCATTCATTAATTTTTTTGAGTCACCCTGCATATGCAAATCCAAAAATATGAATGGAATGATAAATCACAAGTACAGACTCATCATATTTTGTACATTTTAGATAGGATTTATTCAGCAAAATTTTGGGGTGACGTCATCAATTTTTTAGGGAGGATGAGCAAATACATTTTGATAAAAAATTTACCATGCTTATAATAACTTTAAAACATCTCCAAGATTTCAAAGCATTCGGTTCTATAAATCCTGATTAAATCAATAAAATCAATTGACGCATTCATTAATTTTTTTGAGTCACCCTGCATATGCAAATCCAAAAATATGAATGGAATGATAAATCACAAGTACAGACTCATCATATTTTGTACATTTTAGATAGGATTTATTCAGCAAAATTTTGGAGTGACGTCATCAATTTTTTAGGGGGGAAGAGCAAATACATTTTGATAAAAAATTTACCATGCTTATGATAACTTTACAACATCTCCAAGATTTCAAAGCATTCGGTTCTGTAATTCCTGATTAAATCAATAAAATCAATTGACGCATTCATTAATTTTTTTGAGTCACCCTGTATATGCAAATCCAAAAAATATTATTGGAATGATAAATCACAAGTACAGACTCATCATATTTTGTACATTTTAGATAGGATTTATTCAGCAAAATTTTGGAGTGACGTCATCAATTTTTTAGAGGGGAAGAGCAAATACATTTTGATAAAAAAATTACCATGCTTATGGTAACTTTAAAACACCTCCAAGATTTCAAAGCATTCGATTCTGTAATTCCTGATTAAATCAATAAAATAAATTGACGCATTCATTAATTTTTTTCAGTCACCCTGTATATGCAAATCGAAAAAATTTGAATCGAATGATAAATCACAAGAAGAGACTCACCATATTTTGTACATTTTAGATAGGATTTATTCAGCAAAATTTTGTGGTGACGTCATAAATTTTTTAGGAGGGACGACCAAATACATTTTGATCAAAAATTTACCATGCTTATGATAATTTTAAAACATCTTCAAGATTTCAAAGCATTCGGTTTTGTAGTTCCTGAGTAAATCAGTAAAATAAATTTTGCGCATTCATTAATTTTTTTGAGTCACCATGTATATGCAAATCCAAAAAATATGAATGGAGTGATATATCACAAGTACAGACGCATCATTTGTACATTTTAGATAGGATTTATTCGGCAAACTTTTGAGCTGACGTCATCAAGTTTTTGGAGGGGATAACCAAATATATTTTGACTAAAGATTTATGATGCTCTTTAGAGCCTTAAAACATCTGCAACATTTCAAAACATTCGGGTTAGCAGATTCAAAATTAAATTGCAAAATGTTGTTTTATAATTTTGATTTTTTTTCCAAAAATCTGGACGTTTCGGGTAAAAACTCAATTCGGGGTCGTAAACGACATGTGTAGGACTATGTTATTTTATACAATTTAAAACCCATTTACTATGTACAATTTTGAAGTGACGTCATCGCATTAGTGGTGGGGATGATTAGACAAATTTTAGTTAGCGTTTTACCATCTACATGATATTCCTAATATAAGTACAAAATTTCACAACAATCGGTCGAGTACTTTCGGAGATTATCTGTCTAATAAAAATCCGGGACGGCAGACAGACGGACAGTCAAAATATATTTGCTTATCCCCTCCAAAAACTTGATGACGTCAGCTCGAAAGTTTGCCGAATAAATCATATCTAAAATGTACAAAATATGATGAGCCTGTACTTGTCATTTATCACTCCATTCATATTTTTTGGATTTGCATATACAGAGTGACTCAAAAAAATTAATGAATGCGTAAATATATTTTATTGATTTAATCAGGAACTACAAAACGGAATGCTCTGACATCTTGCAGATGTTTTAAGGTTATAAAGAGCATAATAAATGTTTAGTCAAAATATATTTGCTTATCCCCTCCAAAAACTTGATGACGTCAGCTCGAAAATTTGCCGAATAAATCATATCTAAAATGTACAAAATATGATCAGTCTGTACTTGTGATCTATCACTCCATTCATATTTTTTGGATTTGCATATACAGGGTGATTCAAGAAAATAAATGAAAGCGTAAATTTATTTTACTGATTTACTCAGGAACTACAAAACCGAATGCTTCGAAATCTTGAAGATATTTTAAAATTATCATAAGCATGGTAAATTTTTGATCAAAACGTATTTGGTCGTCCCCCCTAAAAAATGTATGATGTCACCACAAAATTTTGCTGAAAAAATCCTATCTAAAATGTACAAAATATGGTGAGTCTCTTCTTGTGATTTATCATTCCATTCAATTTTTTTCGATTTGCATATACAGGGTGACTCAAAAAAATTAATGAATGCGTAAATTTATTTTATTGATTTAATCAGGAACTACAAAACCGAATGCTTTGAAATCTTGCAGATGTTTTAAGGTTATAAAGAGCATAATAAATTTTTAGTCAAAATATATTTGGTTATCTTCTACAAAAAACTGATGACGTCAGCTCAAAAGTTTGCCGAATAATTCGTATCTAAAATGTACAAAATATGATGAGTCTGTACTTGTGATTTATCATTCCATTCATATTTTTGGATTTGCATATGCAGGGTGACTCAAAAAAATTAATGAAGGCGTGAATTTATTTTATCGATTTAATCAGGAATTACAAAACCGAATGCTTTGAAATCTTGGGAATATTTTAAAGTTATTATAAGCATGGTAAACTTTTGTTCAAAATGTATTTGTTCATCCCTCCTAAAAAAATTGATGACGTCACCCTTAAATTTTGCTGAATAAATCCTATCTAAAATGCAAAAAATATGATGAGTTTGTACTTGTGATTTATCATTCCATTCATATTTTTTAGATTTTCTTAAGAGGTGGTTCAAAAAAATTAATGAAGTCAATTTATTTTATTGATTAAATTAAAGGCAACACTTATTATTAGTATTACACCCCAACCAACCCAATTTGGTAGACACAAAATTTGTTAAAGGAAAAACTCGGTTGAAACATAAGGGTAGCACGCTTATTTACATCGACTTCAACATTACAGACCTGCATTTGTTTTATGCGCTCACTTGGTTCCGCGAATGTGAAATAGACATGTTTATAATCAACCAATTGTGAATTTCACCGTCAAGAATTAAAATAAAACCCAATGTTTTATATAATAAGCGGAAGTCGAAGCAATAAAACCGATGGTCGTTTTGTTTACAGTTTCTCTGTTTGACTCTCACGTATGCTGTTACGCCTGTCATCTTAAATTAAGAATGTTTATACATACACGATTTTCAGTTGCCTCTGATACGTAGGTATACGTGAGTAAATTGTTTCGTTATTTTATTGATTATTACAAATCAATATTCAAAACGACCCAATTCATTTTCCCGAAAATTTGAGAATATAATAATTTTATTCTTAGTATTACACTACATCTATCCCAACTGATATACGTGTCCTTGCAAAAATGTTGATGACGTCATCGCAATTTTTTTTTTAAATTCCCACTACAAAAATGTAATGAGAAAAAAACACAATAGGCATGCAGTCGTCAAGTTTCCGACAGCGAGGGAAGTACTGTCTAAACTCTTTAGACCAATTTTTTATTTTTAGCAGAACAGTTTTAAAACACGGACTCAAGAGGTTTGAAAATACAAACCAAAATATATACTTATAAGATGAATTTAATGCTTCCAGCGTTTTTTAAAGCATTTATGGTACTATTTTCTCTGCGTTTAGTTTCGTTGAAAGGGTCTGACCATCCATTTTTGTTTTCATCTGACCACCCCGTAATCGCTGATTTTCTCGTTAACAGGCGTTCGCGCTTCGCGCCCGACTAATCCAGTCAAAATAGGCATTTAACTTAGCCAAAATTCGCATAGAGCTGAAAATTGGTATAGACGTTAAATAAACCATTACAAATGAAATGTCAAAAATCCCCTTCGATCCCACTTCTGCAAAAAAATTTATTCAAGGTCAAAGGTAAAAAATTCAGGTTTTTCCCATTTTTCTCTGGAACCGTAAGTTTTATCGTAAACATAGATCAGACAAAAATTGTAGATTATATAATTCTCTACAAAAATTGTTCCAATACTTTTCTTCGTACGAATCACCATTCTTGAGATATCGCGATTTTAAAAGTTGAAAGTCATTTTCTTCATAATATGCACACATTTCCGCACCACCTATGAGGTAATATACTTGGCGCATTTTTTTAACGTGGCTTCCCCAGTGGGCATATTCCACGATCTAGTGTCATAAAGAAATACAAATTTGATCAGTATACAGATCGCATCCTGTTGGTTGAAAGAATCCTACTATTGCTAATGTTCAAAGTGGAACAGGTTGATTTCTTCTAAATAATGATTTATGATAGATAATTTTCTAATTCTACTTCAACAATTATTTCTTCATCTTCACTTTCTTCCTCTTTTCCATGCAGAATTTCTGTACGCTGTTCTAAGAAAAAAGATGGATCAGTTGTCTCTTCATTGATATCATAGGTATTATCATCTGTTGGATTTGATTCAATATTGGAGCAAGTCTGACCCTGACAATTGATACATACTGGCGAACAAAATAATCCCACCTGTCGACAGCCACAATTCTTACTACAATCCGTCTTGCAGATACAAAAAATAATATTAAGTAGTTTTTTGGACCAGACGGGAGTAGGGTTTGAACTGGTTCCAAAAAATTATCTCTTAATTTCCAACCCCATTCTTCTGGGTCCAGCTCATTGCCTAGCCACACTCTTGAACTTGATAATACACACGATACAAGTGTTGAAAGGCGGAAGGAGATGTTGGAGGCAGACCAGACTGCATTGCACTGTTTTATTGTTCCATACAGATTTTTCAAACCTTAAATATCTATACGTGTCTATGGAATCAATTTTTTTTGGAGCACCATACATTACAAGAAGAAAACGAATTCCATTTGTGACGATGTCATGTGGAGAAGAGTCAATCTTTGTAAATACTTCTGCGCAATCAATTAAATCACTACGTTTTTCTAACAATTTAAATACTGCTGTTTTACCTCTCTTAAAAATGGCTGATGTAGTATCGCAACCAGTTATTGCATGCAAAAATAAAATATGAGTTTTACATTTTGGATATACAATATATTATTGATTGTACTTAAGCGCTCCCAGGATCCAAACAGTAAATAATTTTATCAATTGGAGTCCGTGCTGTCAGTAATATCAACAAATCAACATCTTCACCAATGACGACAGTTGTATTTGGTCTTTTAATTGTTCTATTGCTCTCTTCACATAGCATTGAAATGAAGCGAGACGTATACAGGCTGTATATTATGTAGAATATGAATTTTTCAACTTTTAAAATCGCGATATCTCACGAATGGTGATTTGTACGGAAAAAAGTATTGAAACAATTTTTGTAGAGAATTGTATGATCTACAACTTTTGTCTAACCTATTTTTACGATAAAACTTACGGTATCAGAGAAAAATTGGAAAAACCTGAATTTTTGACCTTTGACCATGGATAAAAATTTTTGCAGAAGTAGGATCGAAGGGCATTTTTGACATTTCATTGTTAATGGTTTATTTAACGTCTATACCAATTTTCAGCTCTATGCGAAATTTGGCTAAGTTATGATTTTTTTTTGTCTACTTTGACTGGACTAGACGTATTTAGCGAATTAATTAAAGTAAAATTTGCTTATCCCTCGTTTTGAATGTTTTATTTTCATAATTGACGTAATGCATATTTTAATCCGGTTAGTTTTAGTTTTTCTTTATTCTCAGGGGATTTTTTTTTATTTCCACTGAATTTTTAGTTTTAATTGTTTTAGCAGCTAGCGTGTAAATATCCAGTCGCAGTTTATTAAATGATTAAATCCATTACTGGAATTCGTATCTTGCAGTTTTCGAGGTTTACTTATCACGCACGTATTATTATTATGTTTTAGAAGATATCACACATATTTAGGGATTTATTAGGTTATTTTTAAGTTTTTAATTGCATGAAATTCTTAGAGGATTTTTAGGATTAATTATTGCAAAAAATTCTGAATTTTAAAATTTTAAACTGTGATCGTTAACAAAATGGAACCATACGTTGTGGGTGTGATTTTTTTGTTTAGTGGAATGCGTACAAAGCGAAGTAGTGAACCCCACAGTTGGAATAGTGCCCCTAAATCAAAATACAAAATATGGAGCACAAATTGTTTATTCCTCCATTCGTTTGGCGGAAAAAGATTTTGAAATAAAGTATGGAGGAACTTTGCCAGCTGCAAAAACCCTCTCCAGCTTTCAAAAATGAAATCAAATGTTACAAATCAAAACATATATTTGAATACATACAACAAATGTAGGTACACAAAAAAAAAGAGAAACTGTGATTAAACTAACTGGATGCAAATACACAAGTTATTACAGTGGTGTGGCTGCAAATTTAAATGACGGTAGTCGAACAAGAAAAAGATCAAGCTGAGTGAAAACAAACCATGCAGCGTGAAGATACGTAGCAACAGCGGCGCGAAGGGCGTCTCTTCATGGAGGTTTATTTGCCAGTGGTTTTAAACGTGCCATGGGTTTTAAACACTCGCACTCGTGAGACTTACTTCCATCCCTGCAAAGGAAGCAGTCGACTAGACAGCCTGATTCACAATCACTTATACGTGTTTATGGAATAGTCACAGTTTTACATATGTGAGAAACTAATATTGTACTAATTTCGCTCGCTATGAACTACGGCATCGAATCCGATTCATATTTGTTTAACAATCCTCCTTTTTTGAAATTACAGTCTATATTCTACCTTTAAAAATCTACCTGCGCAACAGTCCAATCCCCTTAGCCCTATGAGGTCGAAGACAGCGCCAAATATGTATAAGCTTCAGATTCACGGAAACACAATAAATTTTTAAAAATAATGTTAAGTGTTTTATTTCATTGAATTAAACATTTCACAGTATTGTGTTAAAATGCTGGTAAAGGAGTTTAGATGAAATTTGGGCATAAACAGTCTCCGGTACTATCAACAGGTACCTACACTGAACAATTCCAACATCTGTTGGGTTGCTTTTAAGTAAACAACTGGTAAACTGTAAGGAGCAATACAAAAAAACAAACAGTAACCAAATTTTCAAACGACTGAAATGGAAAACGGAAATATGCGAAGACGCCACATCCTAGGTGTTTCTCACTCATGACACCAAGCTGTTTTACATAACGTCGATGAATACTTGAATAGGGAGATATTATTTCTAAGGGAATTGAAATCTACAGCCAAATTCTACCTCAATGGGGAACAATTAACTTTATTTACTTCTATTATCTGATAATAAGAAAGAAGCATCACAAAACCTTCCGACGTCTAACTTTTTTCATACCTACAACCAAAACCTCATTAAACAGCCAAAATGATTGAAGTTCTCGAAACTCTGGGGTTGCAAACTGAAGACGAAATAGCGCTTCTGAATTTTAACTCATATTTGCAAATTCCTTCCGTACAACCGAATGTTAACTACGGTGAGTACCAATAAACCAAAATTTCGTAACTACACTAGATTCATAGACACCTGCGTGGAATTTCTTGGAACGATGGCCGAAAGTTTGCAGCTACCTATGCAAGTACTCAATTTAGTGGAAGGCAAACCCATTGTTTTGATGACTTGGATGGGAACCGAACCGGCTCTTCCAGCAATACTCCTCAACAGCCACATAGACGTTTCACCCGTTGTTATAAGCGAATGGTCTCACAACCCCTTTGCTGTCGAAATTGAAGATCAAAATATTTACGCTAGGGGCGCCCAAGATTCGAAATGTATCGGCATTCAATATCTTGAAGCTGTGAGACGCTTGAAAAGATCCAAAACGGTTTTAAAACGAACGATCTATTTGAGTTATATGCCAGGTAAAACACGATTTTTTCTGACATGTTGAATAAAGGTTTCTTGTAGATGCAGAGATAGGTGGTTTGAAAGGCATGGGTGCATTTACAGACTGGGAAGATTTTGGAAAACTTAACATTGGATTTGCGCTAGATTCAGGAATGGCGACTCTTGGAGATAAGTTTGTCGCGTTTAATGGGGAAAAATATGCCTGGAGTAAGGTTTAACGGGTAAAAAAACCGAAAGTGATATTTGTTTTTAGATATACGAGTATGCTGTCAAGGCACCTCTGGAGACGCAGAGCTCTTGTTGGACGACACTCCGGGAGAAAGAATGAGTCGTGTTTTGCAGAAATTTTTCGCTTTCAGAACAATGGAAATGGAAAAACTGACAGCCAACCCTGACTGGACGCTTGCAAATGTCATCAGCATTAATCTAACAAAAATTGAAGTAGGAAACGATATTGTGTAAATACTGTTTTTCTGTATAATCTGTATTATAGGGTGGTGGTCGAAGGAATATGGTCCCATCAGAATTTGTGCTATATTTTGATTGTCGCATTCCCTTTGAAAGAATGGATGTAGATGAATTAGAACCAACAATGGATCAATGGTGCCACGACGTTAGTAATAGTGTATTGATTGACTATACACTCCAGGAACTACCGATTAACCCAACACGGATCAACGATCCATATTGGGTTACTTTTGAAAAAGCGGTTGAAGAAGTGTACGTATTTGTACCTAAACGGTCACTAAAACAATTGTTTATTTTAGAGAGGTTCAAATGTTCCCAGGTCGTACAGACAGTCGACATTTACGAAACGCGGAAATACCAGTCGTCAGTTTTTCGCCCATTATCAACACGCCTGTGCGATTACACGGCCATGATGAACATATAGGGATTCAAACTTTTCTAGATGGAATAACCATATATTGTCGTATTTTAAGAGAGCTGGGGGAGTTGATGGAATAAAAAAACAGGAAGTAAATGTAGAAAATAGTAATACGAAAAAAATGTGAATAGTTATAATGGTAATAAACATATCTGAATATGATACAAATTTATCTTGGCAAACAAACCAAATTAAAAGAAGCGATTCGTCGGATGAACCATATTACAATACTTTCTTACTTACGCTTAGAATAAACGCTCGAAATCGATACATTTACGGTCATAAATGTTCTGACAATTTTATGTTACGCCAAAAACATATCTGGTTATTCACAAAGGTACTTAAAGTTTCAAATATTCACAAAAATTGTATTTTTTAACAAGAAGTTAACACATTTGAAACAATTTGGTATATTATTATTATTAATCATCGTTAAACGAAAAATTTAAAAAAAGCAAAACTACTCATACGATTTTTACTTCCTAACATTTGCAAGATTTCATAGTAAGCGATTTTACAATTTCAAACTTAAATTACTAAATGTTATACAATTTTGATTTTTTTTTTTCAAAACTCTGAATGTCTGGATTCATAAACCAAAGTACAGGAGCAGGGAACATAGAGAAGCGCCATAGTTTAAATCAAATGACGGTTGGAGACTTCTCAATTTATGTTGGTAGCAGTGTTTGTTTCTAACTAGGAATAAAAGTAACTAGAAGAAATGCCATAATATTTTTAACGACGCGTTTTATTTTCGACAAATTGACACTAGATTTACCAGAATATTACAAACTGCTTACTGTTTGCTTCACTTTCATTCAGGTCACACGAATTGCAATTATAGTGAAGCAAGGTTTTTATTGGCATCGACTATTTAAATTTGGCGCTTGCCTTTGGCGGTTGAGGACTCCTATGTCAATAAGGGTGGTTTTGCAAAATCAGCCTCTATGTCGCTTCTCTATGTTCTCTGACAGGAGTATGTTATTTTTTAAATTTAATTATTGTAAATTTTGGAGATGACGTCATCCTATTATTGGTAGGGTTGATCCGACAAATTCCGGTCAGCTTATTTTTACCATCACCTACACAACATTTTTCACATACATAGGTATAAAATATGATAATAATCGGTCCCCCTAGTTTCCGAGATTATCTGTCCAATAAAAATCGACAGATCGACGTAAGCGGGACCTATTTTTTCGTACTTTAGAGGCGATGAAACGTCGAGAAAACATGAAAGACGCCATTCTTCAGGAAGTAAAAATGTGAATATTCATAATGATAATGAACATATCTGAAAATGATAAAAATATGTACTTATCTTGGCACGTAAGCAAAATTATTATCAAGACGCCAAAACTACTAGTAAACACTTTCTATTGTGTATTCATAAACCACAATTTATCATTTAAGCTAAGCAAAACACGGGCGCTCTATATATTTGTCAAGACATTTTTGGCAACCTTGATTACAAAAGGTATCATAAAGTGAAGACGTCCTAGTAACACTACTGTACGGTATATTTGCCACAGAACGTAGTATAGTAACAACTATTTGCTGCTAGTTGTAAATTAAGGTGCAAAATGTCTTCACTTACCGAGACACAGAAAAAGGAGTTAGATACTCTAGCTGTCAATAATTTTCGTGAATATTTAAAAATTCCTTCTGTACACCCCAACATCAATTATGGTAAGTAGTTTTTTAATTATTTATAATATTAAACGTAGTTAATGTTTGAAACATAACCTCAATAATTGTACAGGTGTACGAAAAAGACAGAGGCGTAACTTGAAGTTTTTCCCAAGGGTTACTATAATATACGCATTAAAATGTAGAAATGAAAATTGGTCACAAAATCAAAAGTATTATCGATTATTACAAGTGAAATATTGAAAAATGCAAAAAGCACTCTCACATGGAAAACATCTTTGGATTTATTTATTGCGCATTTTGTGTATGACGTCATGTGGCTGTCATGACCGCCAATTTTTGAAAGTCTGGCTTATTGCATGTTCGTATTATCACTATCAACGAACGATACCAAATTTTGAACACATGTTATTAGCATCTGATTTCAACTTAGCATCTTTGCAGTATGTGTGTCAAGGCGGACGTGTGGTGAGCAGTTTCCTCAGATTCATTATAAAAGTTAGGTTGGTTGAGCATTCGAGATTTAGTTATGCAAGATGTATCGAAGGATAATGGTGTGATTTTTTTCAGCATCAGATTTATATTTTGCATGTACAGTAGTTTAATTGGGTTATCTTGTTCTTTAACCTCCCGGTGATATTTCACCGTTGAGGCTATCAGCTGATAGACTTTTTCTCACTTTTTTCTATCTTCAATGCCGACGTGTAAGATATGCGAAGTTACCCTGAAAAACTTCGATAAAACTTTAAAATTTTTATCATGTCCAAATGTCACGCTAAATGTTTAAAAATCGATGATGCTGACTTAAAAGTTCTAAATTTATGTAATGAATATATTCAGATGGTTCATTAAAACTCGATTCGGTGGATAAATGTATGTCTCTAATTGCAAAATAAAATGAATCAATTGAGTCCTAACAGTAACTAAGTAACAGGAAATTAATTCTAATAATTCATCTATTCTCAGTAATACCCAGGTTCCAGTCCCTACATATGCAGAAACTGTTATCAATAAGACGTTATCATCTGTTATTCTCCAGCCTAAACAAACAGCATCTGTGACTCAAAAACATCTACATAAAATAGATCCTGTTAAGTCAAACATTGGCATATCAAGTGTAAAAACGTGTCGCAATGGCAGTCTAGACAAAATCAACTAATCATAAACTGCAAGAATACTGAGGATTGGAATAAAATGAAACATCTGATCACAAGTAATCTCACAGTGAAGCAATTAAAACAATTGAATCCTAGTATTAGAATAGCAGGCATAGACAAAGATATTGCAAAAGAGTCAGTAGTTGAATATGTTGTGAACTTAAATGAATCGTTATTTTGTTCTAATTAGGTGTATAACTTAAAGCAATTTCTGCCCCTACATAATAATAATAAATTCAATCAATGTATTTATTTTAGTTGGTTATATTCCCCCAGTTTGCGATAATACTGACTAAAAAAGCTAAAACCCCCCTTCTTAAGTGGCCCAGGCGAAATTCCAGCATTGGTTATAATGGAATGTGCAAATGTTTTCGTTAAACCTCTATCTAAATCTCGAAGGTTTTTCCTGTTTACAAAAAGGGGGATAAATCAGACATTTCGAATTATAGAATTATAGGCCTGTGGCAATCCTCTGCAATTTTACAAAGATTTTTGAAAATGTAATTTACTTCAGATTTTCAGGTCATATTTCACAAATGATTGGAGTTAATCAGCATGGTTTTGATAAAGGAAAATCTACTCAAACTAACCTGATTTCCATTACAGTTTTTGTGTGGGGCTTTGGATGTGAATGTCATTTTTCTAAAGCTTTTGATAAAATTGACCATCGTAAAGAAATTAGAGCTTTTTGCTCTTTCGGATTCCCTAATATTATTAATGAAGTCCTATTTAAATGAGCGTTCTCTCTTTGTTACTGTTATGATTTCAAATAAAAGTTCTTTGTTCAGCAATCTGGAGTACCCCAGGGCTAGGTTTTGGGGCCGCTGTTGTTTGGTATGTTTATCAATGACCTTATTGACGTGATTGATGTTCATTCTCTTTTATTTGTTGATGACCTTAAGATCTATTGTGTTATTGAACGCTATGATGACTGTCTCCGTTTGCAACAAAGCATTGACAAAGCCTTTCAGCGGTGTGTAGATAACCATTTGTTATTGAACAAAGATAAATGTTATCTAATGATATTCAGTCGAAAAATTAGGGATATAAAATTTAATTATAACATTGATAATAGCATCCTTAAAAGACCTGACGTTGTACGTCTACTCTTTTGTTTCGCCTCTGGTATGGTTGACATACTGAGTTACCGTGCTCTTTTGCTTTATTCTTAACTATGCTCCTGAAGATGCCACTTACGGAAGTGTGCGAAACGTTGAGCCCAAAAACTCAATTTACACGGTTCCAACCTGGAAAACGATCATGTATTGATTCCGACCGTGAAAAAAAAAATTATTGCAACTATATTATTGCATTGAGTTAGACAATGAAAATGAATTTCAACTTTAAATTATAAAGTTAAAAAAGTTAATATTTTTTTAATAACCGAAATAACGTCATTTCGCCACACTAAAATTGACGGTATATCATTTTCAGATCAGTGATGCCAATCGTGTGGCGTATGTCATGCCTACTGAAACTTAAGAACTTTTTAATTGAATTACTATTATTAATTTTAACTTCCCTTAAACATAAATGCGACTTTCTAACACTGTTTTTTTTTAAGAACCTTGCGTCGAATTCCTTAAAAAGCAAGCAACCAGCCTGGGCCTCCCCGTCAAAATCTACCATGTGAAACCCACAAAGCCCATCGTGGTAATCACATGGGTCGGGACCCAGCCAAATTTGCCCACGATTATGCTTAACAGTCACATGGACGTCGTCCCCGTTTTCGAAGATAACTGGACCCATAAACCCTTCGCCGCCGACATAGACGAACAAAACAACATCTACGCTCGAGGAACGCAAGACATGAAGTCGGTGGGCATCCAGTATCTGGAAGCTGTAAGAAGGCTAAAACAACAAGGCGTCACTCTCAAAAGGACCATCCACCTATCCTTCGTTCCAGGTGAGGCCTGACTAAATTTTAAATTAATATTATGAGAGGATTTTTGGATTAGAGGAAGAAGTTGGTGGTGTGGATGGAATGCAGCAGTTTGTTCATACCAAGGACTTCCAAAATTTGAATGTTGGGTTGGCTTTGGATGAAGGAATGGCTAGTCCAAGCGAGGAGTTTATTTTGTTTAATGGGGAAAGATGCATCTGGCGTAAGATTAATAGAGGAATTAAATCTTGTAGAGAGTAAAGGGGTGTTGTAGATCTTCACATACATTGCCCTGGAAACCCAGGCCACGGGTCGTTATTGCTGGAAAATACCGCAGGAGAGAAAGTGGCGTATCTTTTGAAAAAGTTTTATGAATTTAGAAACCAAGAGAAGCAGAAATTGAAGGATAATCCTTCTTGGACGATCGGTGATGTGACCACTGTGAATTTGACGCAAGCGAGGGTAAATTTGTTTTACTTTTAAAATTCTTGTGATCCATTGCAATAGCAGTGTCTTTTATTCAATACGTTTTTTTTTCTCACTTTGAAGAAAAAACCATGTTTGCAAAATATTTTCAAACTTTCACAAATAATAAAACATCTGCTACAAATCGTAAATAAATCGTACTTAGGTATAAAAGACACTCTTGTAGTACAACTTTGCAATAGAAACACTCCTGAACCTAAATCTAGCATTATTAACTAAAAAATAATGTTATATTTGTTTTATGCTACCAGATATGATTGTAAGGTAAATTCAATGATACATGAAAGTCCCATTTCTGTAATAAATATTTATTAACTTATTCCAGGGCGGTGTACAAACAAACGTTATCCCACCAGAACTTACCATTGCTATTGATTGTCGCATCCCTCCTGAAAGTGTAGACATCAAAAAATGGGAAGAAACCATTAATCAATGGTGCAAAGAAGCAGGTTCTGGTATATGGATAGAATATGAACAAAAGCAACCTCAAGTTCCATCAACAAAACTCGATAATTCCAATCCATATTGGTTAGCCTTCAAGGAAGCTAGTGACAAACTGTAGTTATAAAAACAACAACTTTCATAAATTTTTATCATTATGGTTGCAGGGGGATTAAATTGAAAATCCAAATATTCCCAGGTGGGACAGACAGCCGTTATGTAAGAGCTCTTGGAATTCCAGCACTTGGTTTTTCGCCTATGAATAACACTCCAGTTTTGCTGCATGACCACGATGAATATTTGGGAATTAATACTTTTCTGAAAGGCATAGAGATTTACTGTGGGATTTTACCTGTTCTGGCTAATGTGGAAAACAGAACTGGTTAAAAGGAAATATTCATTGCTGTAGTATAAATGAAAACTGTAATTATTTTCAAGTGCAATATTTAAATAAAAACATGCCCGTGCAACATGCAATGCGTTTTTGTAATTATGTACTCTGATATCTTTAACACACATTGTTTAATGTTTAAACTGCTCAGTGGGCCCCATTGTCTTTCCTGGCAAAGACCATTTGTGACGGTTTTAACAACAAACAATAACAATTGATAAATGGGAATCATCAAAGTACTCACTTATTGTAACCAACATACAAAACCTTGACAACTACATGAAGTCAAATGTACTTATTTCGTGTTAATTCTTCCAAAATTTCACTTCACAACACTCAATTGTAATGTTTTCTTTCAGAAAACCAAAAATTGTTTTGAACTTCTGACGCTTGTCCGCCATGGTCGTTTACACGTGCAAAATGTCAAAACACGAAAAGATGCAACCTGATTGGTTGGGCACGCGTATGCGTGTGCTTGACAGCTGATAATTTTTTTTAAACCCAGGCGGGAAACGTATTTCAAATTCAACCCTCAACTCTTTATCAAAAAATAAACATCTGCAAGCACTTCTTGTTGCAATGTCGCCTCTAACCGATACAAATGTATTATCCCACTTGAAAAAAACACCTGTTCCTTACCACAGATAAAACCCATTTTCGTCCAACCGTCTGACCGGATTTTATCGCTAACGAGATTAATAAAGCCCAACCAAACAAATTATATTTGATTAAACGTTTCCAGCAGCCTTGAATAGCGAAATAAAAGGATCAGGCTGGTCGGATTTGAGTGTGTGTATTTTTAAAGACGCCGTCGCGACGATTTTACTTTGGAATTTTACTCGTAAGATGTCTTCGTTGTCAGCTGTTCGTAAAGACGCGTTCGACACGCAAGCTGTCAGAAATTTTTGTGAATATTTGCGGATTGCCTCCGTACATCCGGATGTTAATTACGGTAAGTTGTTGTTTAAGACTGTAGCTTTAAGGGTAGCTGTTTTTATTAAAATCCCTTCGTTGTGGGGGCGGAAAAATCGCGAGGAATTTTAACAGGTCATGACATGATGTCGACTTGGCTTGGCTTCGGTTTTTGGGTGTGGAATGTCGAAGTTGGGGAAAAATTCAGGTGTTTTTGCTAATAGAGTGCTAGTGGAGGTTGATGGTGAAGAAAAATGGAGTTATTCGATAAGGAGGTCATTATTTTGGGGTTTTATAACCACAAAAAGTGTCGCTTGGGTGGAAGCTAGCCTGCTGTGCGTTTGTTTGAAGGTAGTAATTGTTCACTTATTGTTGACTTTTATGGAATATTAATGATAAAGTTTGTTTAACATATAAGCAGTAGTTGTTGGTTACTGAGGCGTTAAATGGTGATAATATGTTGGGGTCATTTCGAAGATTAAGTCAGTTCTTCGAGTATCTCAGGTTCATTTGACTCCATATCATAAAGACTTGTTCATATTTGGACATGCACAAAGTAATATTTATTTGTTTTTAAATTTGTTGTTGTCCTGTTAATGGCTGTTCGAAAATGGACGTTCCTGAGTTACTCAGTAAAAGAAAGTAAAATGAGATAAGAAATCAACTTATTTGAAACGTTGAATAAAGTTACAATTTACAAAAATAGTTATTAGTTTAAGTATGTAGGAATTATTGTAATTAATCAACATGGTTTGGAAGCGTTTGTTTGGAAATTTGGGAGGTGATTGCCAAACCTTAATTCCATAAAATCTTACATTGTTGAGGACATGTTGTAATGCCATGGAATTTCAAGGTTGGACAACGATTACAAGAAATTTTGAACAATAATTTTGTAACTCATGGGCACCTTGTTTCAAATGGAAGTTACTTTTAGTGGGTTGGCGTAATTTTAGTAACATTACAGATTCAGAATTCAGATTTTGCCAAATCAAAACTTTATAAATACATGTAGTTGTTACCTTGTTGTGTAACATTTCAGATAATATGCTTAATTGAGGAAATATTTGACAGTTTATAATTAAGGACGTTCACTCCACGTGTTGAATTACAAAAAGTACAGTATTCTATAAATTTAAAGAAAGTGTCAGTAAGAAGTTAAATATTCAGCCAATGAAATGCATTTTCTATGTGATTAAACACCACTAGACTAATTTACAGCAGTAATACTAGAGACTGGTATTTTATCAGTTTATCACCTAAAAGTGTTTGACCCCTTAACTTGGTTCTCCAAACTATTTGTTGCCTTGAAATATTAATAATGTCGGTGGTGTTTGTACGTAAAAATTGCTAATTTTCGAAAAGATGTAACAAATGAGAAATCAAACGAAAACTGTTCATTAATAGTGTTTTAAATTACATGACATACATTTCGATGTTATTTTCTAATTGGTAATTAATCCTGAACGCAGATATGACGTTTTAATTTACGACAACTCATGTTAAAGATGCCACCGGATGCTAGTATCAGACCACTAAATAAGGTTTCCGTAGCCGCGATAAACCGACGCTAAAAATAAATAACCACCACGGCATAACAAAAATACTTCAAACATTTCAAATTATCGGTTCTAATTGACCAATATGGGGGAATAATGAAGGTCATCGAACGTTTCGAAAAAGCCCGTCGTACGAAGATGGGTTTTGCCTGATTTTATGAGACTGCATGTGTGAAACCGCTCTTATAAATTTTTTTTTACTTTTTCGATTCTGTACTGGTGGTTTTAAAAATTTTAGATGTTGAATGTTTCTAGCACAAAGTGGAGCAATTTTTTTTTTTAATTTAACCAATTTGAAGTCTTACAGTTTTTGAAATTACAAAAGTGAACATTGAAAGTCAGAGCATTTACGAAAAATTTACAAAAAAATAAAATTTTAAAATCTTGTACGCAGTGTAAAATAGAGACTTTGCATGCAGATTTGATTTGCCTAGTAATACTGAAACAAATACAATCTATGTAAATTTATCAAAAAAGATAGAAAGTATCTGATACTTCGCTACTTAAATGGATGCTGTCATGTTAAAGTAAAGTTCTATAGTATTACCTATCTTGTATAAAACAATTCTCAACATACATAATTTTGTGCTTTGAATATTGAAAATTTTAAGTAATGCGTTGTGCATAAATAAATTTCAAACAACCTGAAAAGTTATTTGCATCGATCTTACCTCACCTTGAGAGCGCAACCAACCATTGCTATTGGGCTTGAAAACTGAATGTAGGTGGCGCTGCGAAAAACCAACATGGACGATGTAAACGGGATAAACAATTGCACTCCCATTGAGTGGTTGTGTTGTGGATGCGATTGTTTAGTGCTTTTTGCCATTTTGTAAAGTTTATTTTGTTCGTTTCGGAACGTTTTGTGTTTTTTGGTTTGTGTGTAGTTTCGAAATAAGTAAGTTTATTTCGTTTGAGTTTCGTTTTGTGTTTATTTCTTTTGAGGTTTTGTATATGTTGCTTCTGGTAAATTAACACTGGGAATTGTAGTTTTTTTTAAATCTGTGCCTCTTTATAGTACACGCTATAAAGTTTTAAAGAAACATATTAAGGTTATGCAAACTGTTATGGAGAAATTAAACTCAGCCCTGTTAAAGAAAAAATCTTCAAAGGTAAAGTGTTTGATGCACACCGTCATGAATGAAGATACTTCTTTGTCGCAGTATTTTGTTAGACTTTGGAAAGTGGTGCAAAGAAATATTTCCAGAATAGTAACTTTTACATTGCGGCACGCAGCAATAGTTGTTACTCTTGGGGCGTTTTTCTTCAGCTATGGTAGAGAAGAGAGTCAAATACGTATTTTGATAAATGGCCAATAACTCGGCAAGAAGTGAATTTACTGTATATAATTTGTTGTCTTCGAATAAGGAACCAAATGAACTTACACAAGAACTAATCCCCCTTGTGACAGTTGGCATTTTCTCCGCCAGAGCGCGCATCGATCTCTCGGGTTGCCGATTAAATACATTTTTTTTTTAACATATGTATACTGTCCTGAATAGGCAATTAAGTTTTTCAATAAAGTGACGCCAATTAATCAGTGATTTGAAGCAAGTAGCATAAATATTTTAAGAAATATTTTATATTTTAAAATTGTTTCCGAACTGTATATTTTTTGACATTCTAAACTCACAAGATTAAAAATATTAAATCACAACTAGAATGGTATTCATGCTTGTTAAGGATGGATAGATTGGTTTATACAAGATGATCCAAAAATGACGTAAAAGCTCGATGGTACGTTGTTAAGAAGGCTCTGAAAAATTAAAAAAAAATGGTTACAAAACCCCTGAACCAAATTTTTGAAAATACTAAATTTCAATGTTAAAATTATAAAAAAATTAAATTAACGTCATAATTCTGATGTTTTAATGTGAATTAAAATGACAGTCTCAAATCGCAATAAAAATGATTATTGCACTCACATGTCACATGATGTCAACTGACCAATCAAACGCGTCAATATTTGTAAATTCAACCAATCAGCATACAATTACGTGATAATTGCACACTGTGCAATTACCACTACCGATAATTATCACTAGCCAGATGTGCCAACTATAAGATAAGCAAGTACCAGTTAATTGCAAAAAAAAACAAGAGGTTACTAACCAAATATTTAATTATGAAACTAAGAATTGTAATTAATTATGGTACAGTTGTAGTAATTTACAGGGGTTTGTGTGCTTGGTGAAGTAGTAACTATATTTTTAGACATTTGTACCAAAGCAGACGGTGCGCAATTTGTGGATTTGTTATTAGACTCTTCCATAGCCGTTGAGTTGGCGCGTAATTTGTCAATCATTTGATAATGATGATCTCCATCGAGCTGAAGGTATGGTTTGATGGAGAAAGTATTGGCATGACCGGTAATCTTTATAAGCTGTTCTTCACCGACTCCCGCTTTTGCAAGTTGCGACACTGCAGTTGACCGTAATGAATGATTACTAATCTTCTTTTTCTTTATGTCGATGCCTATTTCTTCTGCGGCGGTTCTTGTCCATTTCCCCATTTCATTCCTTCCAACGGGTGAATTTTTGAACCATCCTACAGAACTAGGTTCTCTCCATGCAGGATTTGGCGTTAAAAATAAACGATCGGTGGTTATATGTTTACCTCTCTTGCTCAGCATTTTTTTGTAGAGCCTTAAATAATAAAATAATTATTATTTTGTATTTGAAACAGTATTTAATTACCTAACAGGGCAAATTCTAGGATCTGTGGTGTTTGTTGCAAGCCATTTGCTGTCTGTTAATTTATGGCTACCTCCTTGAGCTGTTTTGGAAAAAATACAATTGTATTCTATTCGCCCCGTAGGCAAACCACAATTATCACTTTCTTCCTTAAAATGTTTGATAGTAACGTTAACACCTTCACATCCCCTCCAAGCTAATTCTAATCCAGCCACATAAAAAAACATTTTCTGTAAACCATCTGGCGTGTCTTCGTTATAAATCTTTAGAATCTTGTTGTATTCTTCTAGAGTCAAAATTGAGGAACTAGTTTTGCGTTTTTCCGGTTGTATTTGTAGGTTCCGGCGTTTTGCGTCGCGTGCATTTCTACTACCCTTGAATTCCAGGTCAACAAAAGGATCAAACTTTATACCAAATTTATTGAAATACAGTTCTTGCAACTGCTTTGCCGTTACATTCCACATCGTTTTTATTACTGCTTCTTTGTAGTCATTACCATCGACTTTTTTCATATTGTACCCCCAATCTTTGAGGATGAATGCTAGTTTTTCCGTGGAAGTGTTTCCATCAAAAACATATTTGCGTTCACCGCAAAACTTCTCAAATTGCCTCCAGATTGAATTTCGTGAGTTCTTCGTATTTAGCGGCGTAATGTTTGTAATAGAATCATCAATTTCTTTTGGCGTGTTACGACCAAAACGAAAATTGGACATGGTTTTTTAAACCCACACAAATTTTGCAAAATGGCTGTTCTTATTTACTTGCGTCGCCATAGTATCGCACACCAAACTACTTCGTAAATCATTATAAAATTATTTTTAAAATGTTTGTTCTTGCAATAATCTGTTGAATATATTGCGTGCATCACAATGAAATCGATAATTTTGAACAACAATAATCTCTCATGCTTGTTGCCTAAGAAAAATGCACTCGTGCTAAAGCACTCGTGCGTTTTCAATGCAACAAGCATTCGAGTTATTGTTGCTCAAAATTATCGATAACATTGCGATGCACTTAATATATTATAACTGATAAAAAATGGCATCTGTCAACAGTAAAAAATGCCATTGTATGTCGTATTCTAGCAAATTATTATTAAATTATTAACAATTAATTATTTAACTGTTTATTAGAGATACATGCAGTTCATTATTAAAGAATTACGAAGTTAATTCTTCCATATTGAAGTTTAATATTTTCAAATGTTCAGAACCTTCGTAACAATGTACCATCGAGCTTTTTCGGATCATTCGATTTAATAATAAATAAAATAACAAATAAATTTATTGCTTGATTACTGCCTTGTGCGAATTTTATGGACATTGAATGAATCATTCTTCCGGTATCCCCAAAAACTCAAAAACCCCCGAAGGGGTATAAACTTCAATATTTTCATATTTCAAGAAACAATTTTGAAATATTTTAAGAGGAATTAGTTATGTTGATTATCGTTTCACCATCTACACGGTAATCAATCGTAAATTACATTTAAAATTTCAAAGTAATCAGCGCCGTAGATTATGTCTATTATAAAATCATTAACAGACAAATGGAAACAGAAAGTCGAAATATTTGTATTGTACTAACTGTGGATATCTGTAAAACGTGGAGAAAATGTGAAAATAGTCCAAAAATAAAATAGTAGAAATAATGCCAATAGTGTATAAATACTGTAAAAAATAACAGCCATGGGACTAATATCAAGAGAGCAATAAGAATACGATCAAAGACAGCCATAGATTTTTTAAAGTTTGTCTTTGATTGTTGCATTTTCAACTCAAACTTTCAAATTGACGGTATTCTGACAAAACGGAAATTCAATAAAAGACACATTTTCAAAAATGCACGACTGTCTTTGATCTTCTTTTTATTGATGCCATTGGTTATAAAAAAATTGTTTGATTAAGAAATGAAAGTTAGTGTTCGAAACAGTCCCTTTTTGTCGTCGAAACACAAATAAAATCGAATCTGACACACAGAAACCTAATTCAGTGCAAACAAATATCTTTTTGTTACGTGTTGTGATTAACAATATATTTTTCAGCTTATTGGCTGGTAATTTATTTTCTGTTAATATATTCCTTAAAAAAAAAACAAAGTACTTAATTATAATGTGGGCTTCAGATGTTCTCATATGATAAGTAAACTAAAAAAAAAGTTATGTTAAAAATATAATTAAAACGTTATTTTTGTCCTACTTAAAATTTATATCGTGATTATGACGGTTGGACGGCGCAGGAGCAAAGTTAGGTACGATTATAAAATGACCCATGCCCAGTAAGTAGCCTTCGGTGAAAATATAGGGGTTGAAATAAGTAATTGTGACTCGCAGAAAAGAAATGGCAAGAAGTTATTTACAAAGTTTCATTTTGTTTCTTTCTCAACACATACATATGTATGTATCGAGTGCTCTTGCATATTTACACTAAAAAAGAAATACTTTTTTTTTTGTGATTTACGAGTTTTAAAGGTTTAATAGCGGATTGAAATTTTAAAACTACATCCCTGCCACCAAATTCTACGTGTTTTTCCTAGGACACTAAAATACATGCTATGAAACAAAAAAAAGAAAACAGTTCTTGTACTACACGTAAATAAGTTCCGTATACATATTTATTGTCCAATACTTTTCCGGGTTTCTTACAGGAAAAGGAAAATCATGAATTAAATAAGTTTTGAAACATCTAAATAATGTCAACAACTAAGCTAATTTTTTTATCTTTATATTATACAATGTGTTGCTTCATACCCTAGTATAAAAACTCTGGTACTATCGTATCCATATTTTAGATGCCTGTGTCACATTCCTCACAAAACAAGCAACAAGTCTGGATCTGCCCATCCAAATTCATTACGTGGTACCAAGAAAACCCATCGTGATCTTAACATGGACCGGAACCGAACCTACTTGGCCAACCATCCTCCTCAACAGCCACATGGACGTGGTACCCGTTTTCGAGGACAAGTGGTCCCACCAACCATTCAGCGCCAACATAGACGATCAAAAAATCTACGCCAGAGGTACCCAAGACATGAAAAGCGTGGGCATCCAGTACCTCGAAGCAATCAGACGACTCAAACAGCGCGGAATCACTCTCAAAAGAACCATACACATATCTTTCATGCCAGGTAAGACCATCCGAAAATAGTTTCAGTGAAAACAGTGACTTTTACTAGACGAAGAAATCGGTGGAGCTGACGGCATGCGACAATTCGTACATACTAAACATTTCCAAAAACTGAACGTAGGGATCGCTTTGGATGAAGGAATGGCTAGTCCAACAGAAGAGTTCGTTTTGTTTTATGGCGAAAGATGCATCTGGTGTAAGATTTAAGTCACGAATTCGAAAAACAAGTGTATGTAGATTTGCACATTCACTGTCCAGGAACCCCAGGACACGGGTCTTTGCTGTTGGATGGTACAGCAGGGGAAAAAGCTGCGTATATATTGAACAAGTTATTCGCTTTCCGAAAACAGGAGAGGCAAAAATTGGATGATAATCCTTCTTGGACTGTCGGTGACGTCATCACGCTGAACGTCACTCAAATGAGAGTGAGTATTTTTTCTAATTGTATTGATACAAAACTAACTGAGTTTTTTTACGCAAACCAGATGTAACCATCAGGTAAAATTTGCACCAATAACTTGTCCCGTTGTTGTCTATTCAAAATTTACTAAGTATAGTGGTTTTTAGGGGGGTGTGCAAAATAACGTCGTCCCTCCAGAGTTCGTAATTGCAGTTGATTGCCGCATTCCACCAATAAACGTCGATGTTACACAATGGGAGGAAACTATCAATCAGTGGTGCAAAGAGGCCGGCTCTGGAGTGTGGATTGAGTACAAACAGAAACTCCCCCAAGTGCCTCCTTCAAGACTAGACAGTTCTAACCCGTACTGGATCGCATTTAAGGAAGCCGTAGATCACCTGTGAGTTCCCATTGGGTTTTTGTCATGATATACAGTACCTGTTGTAGTGGTCTTAAAGTGCAACCTCAGATTTTTCCGGGTGGTACTGACAGCCGGTACGTGAGAGGTGTTGGTATTCCTGCTATTGGCTTTTCTCCTATTAATAACACTCCAGTGTTGTTGCATGATCACGACGAGTATTTGGGTGTCGATACATTCTTGAAAGGTATTGAAATTTACTGTCAAATCTTGACGTCTGTGGGTAACGTTGAAGATATAACTGGGTAATTTAGCCGATTATTATTAGATTAATCATCAGTGCAATAAAAATTGTTGAATTAGAGTAAGAATTTTTTAAAGCATGTACCTTCCTTATTGACGAGGAATCATTTGTTTTGCAGATTCTTTTCCTTTATGAGTACCCGTCTTGGGGAATGGTTGTTTCAAGAAATTAAGTCATCAGTCAAGTAAATTGGTATCGCGTTAATGAACAAATTGAGTTATTTCATGCACTTGTGCAACTTAAGTCACATATTATAGTATTAGAGGACATTTATCTGTTTCATAATAGTAATTGAAGTAGGAAACAGTTCATTTGTTCCATGGTCACTCGTGATACCATATTTTCTTGGTGATAACAATATACTTTTGAACACGAAATAGAGATACTCACTTCCAAGTTACTTCATCTTCATACTGTTTTTTGTTTGCGATTTATTTCTTCTTTTTTTTTTACTTAACTTCGTTCATCGTCGAGAAAGTAAATGTGTCCGTATTATTTTGAAACCTCTAGAAAGAAAATTAAAGCGAGCTGTGTGTAAATTACTAAATTATAGTTGAGATATTAAGCTGAAACTGCTAAACCTGTTATCATTTAAAAGTAATGCGTATTTTAACATTGATCACGTGCTTTGGAACATCTGTCTAATACATTTTGTGTGTTTATATTTATTTGGTATTTAAAGTAACAAGAAATTAAACAACTTTTTTAATCCATGAGCCTTGCCTGTGATATTTCTATACCAAACAAACATTGAAATGCTCGTAAGTAACATTAGATATGTCAAATAGGAAAATAATTTGTGGCCTGGGATTATATGAATGGATTTTGGTCCCAAATGTTTAAAGAAAAACACGGTCGTACACTTAATACAGAAGTACTACATTACGTATACTGTAACCTCACTTGACATACACCTTGTAACATTTTATGACTTAAGCGGCTTAAGCTTTATGCACCCGAACCGCAAGGATTATTACTGTCCATTGTTGTCATAATGGAGCTGTGAACTGAGTTAAGTTATACAATAGCCAGTTTGACTTATAAGGGTGGTTTTACAAGATGGATGTCAAGTGAGGTTACAGTACCTCAATCACTTTATTGTGGAAACAATGTGAACTAACATAAATTTATATGTTGAAAAACTTCGTCGACCTCCAGCGGATGTAATGGTGCATATTTTAAAGCACTGATTACATCTTGCATTACGTTTGTTATTAATTAGTTGACCCGTTTTCCAGAAGTTTTCAAAATGTTTCTTTAAATCTGTGTATAAAATTGACAGATTGTTTGTGGTGCAATAACTAAAATTATTTTAAGAATATATCGGTAGAGTCGGTGTTTTTGACGTAATAATAAAATTATGGGCAAAATTCATGAAAGTCAATCTTCACTAATTCCTAATCTCTAATTTACTTGTTTTCGTGAACCAAAGGACTTATACAGACATTTACAAGCTGTATAGAGAATTGTACAAGTTACATAAACTTTTTATTTATTTGTATCAGAAAATAACTTACACAAAAAAGTTGTATACAAATTATTCGATAGTTTTAATTGTGAATATGAAACCAACAAAGGTCGAATGTTATTTTTGAAATGTAGCTAGGTGTGTTATTTTAGCATACAATACTGTAATAAAATCTTTTGAAGTCTTTTCAAAGCAAACACCATGTCGTAAATCAACTCATATCTATTGAAAGAACGTCCGTGTATAATGCCACATTCTCAATTAAATTTGCATTTATTATCACGTTTTTTATAAATATAAACTTGTCGGTAAAGCTTAGAGATTGAAGTCACTTCCGGACAAAATATGTTGTCATTTCCAAGTCCAAGTGTTGATACCTGTTGTGTTGTGAAACGAATGCCAAAGAAAACGCCTAGAATTGTCAGCAGTTCATAATTTCAATGCTTAAAGTAAATGAAGGCTGAATTTTCTGTATTTTTCAGTCTAGAAATGCACCACATGTCAGTGACGATTTATTAGTGTACATTAATCATGAAAAATAGCAAAAACGTTAATGTAAATAAAACGCGTAATATGTTTATTTTGAAAAACACGTTATAAAACATACAGAAACGCAGCAGTAATTAATATCGTTTTTAAATTTTAAACATTTTGTAAAAAACTGCTCCAAAAGCTCTTTTATTTTGAATAATTGAAAGGAATTTTGGCAATGACTTTGGTCCATTGTGAAGTGAGTGTTTTTATTGAAATAAATTTTGTATCTGTAGCCAAAAAACGGTTCCCCAATTCTCATTCCACTGTGTTATAATTGTATTAGCATAAATAAATGCACATTCCTCTTGTTAAGAGATGATAATGCCGATGTAAGCAACCATTTCTTGTTATGTGTCTGATTTATTTATTTTCGTGCGGCCTCCCCTCGTCCAAGTTGGACTCGTCCCAGCAATCGATTTTTGTCTGCCGGTATCTAATTATATTGATATTGTATAATTTATGCAATGCATAATCTCCACCATCGCCATTTGTACGTCAGATCTAGCCCTTTTCGCAAAAAACACCCCCAAAATAGCCTTCCGTTTCAAAATGAAATTAATTGCTGGCAATAACGCAGCTGCCATGACAGTCCCTTTAAACAACAGACCCGGCAAATACACGAAAATGTGAATAGAAAGTCCGCTTATTTCTCCGTTGTTCCGAACGCTGCGCCCTCGTGTCGCACACCAAAATGATCGTCGAAAAACGGCGAAAATTTTGGTGTGCGTCACCCCCGACGTTGCGTCCGCCTAAACGAAAAAACTTAGGTTAAATTAAATGTCAAGAACCCATTACCATGCGTATCGTTATTCGATTCTAAAGTCGGCGTTCCGGCGATTTCGAGCGGCCAATCAGAACGACGCGGGAAACACTCGTGACTTGCGCCGACCAATCGGAAGCGCGCGATTTGAATTCCCTCTTCATTCTTTGTGGATGACGACAAGTTTTGTATACATTCGTTGGGTGTAAAGTGCTGTCAGTGTTAAATATCTTTTTATCGATGATTTAAACAAAATTACAACCAGACACAACGAACTGCCATCAAATTGCAAATCAGTAAGTATGATCGATATTTTCCTTGTATTTTTCGGCCACATTTCTGTTACAAAACGCGAATAAAACGCAAAATTCATGTGGTAGGCGCGTAATGGACTCGTCCAACGTTCGGATCCCGCTCTTTTGTGTAAACGTGTGTTATCTAATCGAAAACAATAATAATTAATTGATTGTTGGCGATTGACAATGTGGGTTTGTTATTTGACAGTGAGCAATGTTTGCTTGATTTTTATGAAAATCGCGATTGGCGGGTTGTCGGGGGGCGGCGGGAACACCCACACCTTGCGCCGAAATACGCCGGAATTTTTCAGAAAAAAAGCCATTCCGCGTGGAAAAGTACACAATTCGCGAAAATAGACGGTACAATATTAAAATTGTATCATTTATTTTTATATCAACAAGGCGGGAAGACGATCTTAACACTTCAAGGTCGTGAGGAAATCAGTTTTGATAACAATCGTAAGAAGCAATGTACTGAGCGAATAAAGAACTATTATTTTATTTTTAACTTAATTTGCATTTTGTTGTATTGTTTCTTACGTTTCCGTCATTTATTGTCACCGTCTGAGTGCCAAATTCCCTCGGGTTCTCACGTTCGAACAGGTGATTTATGGCAGGTCTTTCTTTATTGCCCACCTTTGCCTGGATTTTCAATTATTGCGATAGCCCTATTGTGTGAAAACCGTATGGGGTAATAAGGGGTAAGAAAAGAACCAAAGAAGTCTGGCCAGACATCACACCAAACCGGTATTCTTCGACAAATCATTTAACAATGGTGATTACAAGATTATGCAGATTAGAAATCTGGTCCTGTGTAATAATCGAGGTAAATGACACCCATTGTTGACTTGTTGAAAGAATAAATTAGTATTTTTTGCGAATGGAAATTTGCCGTAAATTCGCCAGAGAAATACGGAGAGGTGATTAAGCGATTCTCACCCTCCGAGTTTCTCCCCTCTTAGGTGGAGTAATGGCCATCTGCCCGAATTAAGTACAGTTTGCCAATAAAAATACCCGTTATCTTCCATTACAGGATTAATTACAAATAAGCGGCATTTGGTTTATTGATTTTTCGTAATATTATTATTTTGTTTTTAATTCGACTTAAAACGAAGATTATGAAATTTTAATAAGAACTTTGTCGGTTTGAAATCCCGTTAATGTTCTTTTCATTTTGGAATTATTGATGAGGAGAATCAATTGAGAGCGAAGTTTCTAATAAAAATACGGAGATTTTCCGTCCAATTTATGTTTGGTTCGTTTTATATATAAGAATGAAAAATGAATTTCGGACGTGGAGTTTATAAGCGCTTAAACCCAGTGATATCTTTAATACGACCCTCGATCGAAACATTTTTATAAACTGCCTCAAACCGGTTATTTTTGGGGGCATCTAAATATTCTTTTGTTCATAATGTCTGTAATATTAGGATTATTAGGCGCACCTAGATAATGTTCACATTTCACTCTTTATTATTTAATTACCTAGCTAGCCGAATGAAAAATTAATCAGTCTTGAACTACTAAACAAAAATGTATTACAACTAAGTAAATAGTGTTGTAAAATCTTCTTGATTCAGTTTTTTTTTATGCAGGAAATGTACTACAGGGTGATTATCCAATATGGAGGATTTCATTATTTCACCGAACAATTTATTATAATCTAAAAATAATATTAATAAGGCTATTATCGGCACCATATGTTTTAGTGGTATTTAGTCAGGCGTTTCTACAAGAAATGTGGTTTTCATTTTGCTGCAAGCACATTGTCACGCTTAAAAAAGTCAGGTTATGATTGACATTTGTGACGTCAGCTATTACAAAGAGGCGGCAAAATTCACGAAATTTCAAACCCAACTTGATGGACAACCTTTTGTAATCACAATCATTGGATTTTTCAACTAAAAAGTCTCTTTTGTGGAAAAACACCCCTATAAACAAATAAATACCTGGTATGTATTTGTATAATACATAGAAAAGACAGGATTGCAGTTTAAAGCTACAAATAAAATAATTTGCAAAATGTGAAATGTGTAATAAATGCTGTGAATACTGCGGAACAAAAGTTTGTTTTCGTTGTGGAAGGCGGCGCAAAACAAGCCAGTATTATGTATGCACCCAGCGGAATAAAATTATGTGCAGAGTTCAAGACAATATTTCAAGCTTTATTTTCCAGTAACTGTGCTACCTATGACCTTTGTTGTAAAGACGACATGACTTCGGTATTTTTTTATGAACTGTAGTATTCTTTTCTTAATTTTAAAGTTTCAAGGTCTGTAGTTTTAAAATTACAAACCGAAATAAATTGTTTCATTTAAAAAATGTCTAAATATCGTTGCCATAGCAACGGATGTCTCTATCTATATGTTTGTATAAAGATTTTATTCCATTTGAGGCCCTTTTAAAGATATAATTTTTATCTTATTGTATTCACAGCCGTTAATATATTATTTACTTTCTGTTCATTCGTGTACACGTAACCTTGATTGGTTAGCTATTTTTCTTCACTCCGAAATTTTTTTTTAGTTTTTGCTTGAATATAAATTATCGTTCACTTATAATATTACGAATAGAATTTAAACAAAAATACATCTGCATAAGGAGATTTTTTTTAGATATTTGCTAAAAATTAAAACGTTCATACTTCTATTATAATTGCAGAAATTTTCTACACCTGCAAAATAGTAATAATTTCGTTCTCAATAATCAAATATCTTTGTTGTCGATAACTAGAAACTGATTAATTGTATGGGTGCTACAATTATTATTGTATTATTACAAACGTTATACAATGTCTCAAGACGTCTAATAACAGCCCACCGAGTTGAGGTTTAATTTATTGTTGACTTATAGCCCGTATGTAATTTATGATTAATATCTCAACGTTAAGAAAAACAGTTTCAAATTTTTCTAGTGAAAAAGTGGTATTTTCTCACCATAAAGAATTGTCTACCTCACTTACTCACTTCTCCCCTAACTTGGACTGCAGTTTTTAACAACTTGAAAACAACAATTATTATCTGTATAATTTTAACTTCAGTTTTTAAGAATTTTCGATGATACGTAATTAATATTGAAAGGGTTAAATGTTATCACAAATTACCATAATAATCGTAACTTTTGAGAAATACAAAGCATCGTGTGTTTTAAAGCTACAGCTCGTTAATTTTTATAAGTTGATGCACCATTAATTCAAAACGAGGTAATTAATTGTACACAGGCTTGACAATTCTAATTTAATGGTCTAATTTACTACGCATTAAATTTGTGTACTATTACATTTGCCAGATTAGAACCTGTAAATGTCAACATATCAAAATAAATCAACTATAGTTGTAGAAAATTAAATTTTAAAAAACGCCAAATGTATGGCGAAGCTCAGAATTGTACATGAAATAGCTTCAAACTTTTTTTATAATTTTCATTCTTTATTTTATAGACAATTTAGTTCTAGATCAATACTATCAATAGGCAAAAGGTCAAACATAACAATGAGGCAACATTAAATTCTTCTGTATTTAAAGCGGAGGGGAAATTAAATAGAACTACCCGATGACTATTAATGATTGAAGCAAATTTTTGTGTTGGCAATTCTGAATTACTAGCATCCATGCCATGCCATCCATCAGGTATACAATCATAAAATTTTAAATAGTTGGCCAATCTGACCCAAAAATTGAACAACCTACCTCGACGAAAATTTTTATGATTGCTATTTTTGAAAATATCAAATTTCAATGTTAATAAACAATCTCATCGATATTTTGATGGAAATTATTTCCATTTTACCAACAGAAGATGTTTCGAGGAAGACTTGGTACCTACCGCTACATGTGTAATATCTGTCTTATAGATTTACATTTTATACCTGAGCTGAGCGTTTGTGTGGTATAATTTTTTGGTATGAACTAACTTTATTTAAATATGCAGTATGTAAAATACTTCTAAAAAATTGACGATGACGTCATTTTAATTTAGTAATGATAATTTACTCCCTTTATTCATCTCCATAATTACACCAGTAAATCTTAATAAAGTTACAAGTCGTAGTGAAAGGTCGCAAATACAATTATTATTTTTATTGGCAACACTGTACGTACGAAATGACTGTTTTATGAGACACGAAACAATATTACGGACATAAACTGAGGATATTAGGTTATCAAACTGTTTGATAACGAACAAAAAGTTATTAAAAAATACAAAGCCACATTCAATTCTGCCCTTAAGTTGTGTTTTCAGTTTATTGGAAACAGAACCTCACAATTAAATTGTGAATTTGTTGCACATGCCCTAACAATCGTTTGAACTTTTTGCTGCCTTTTCATACTTGCCTTACGTTTATTTGTGCGCTTCCAACGTCATTAAACATCAACTCTTTCACACCCATAAACATTTGTTTTTGGTAATTACGTTAACAGAAGTGTGTTTATTTACATGCTAAAACAGGCCGTTTAAATTCTCGATTACGCGTTAAAACAAAACATCAAACGTCTTCCGCCTTCCCGATCTTACGTGTCGTATTCGTTTTCACTTAAAAGGAATATTTACTTCCAGCGAAGTACAGAGATGTCCGCCGTCATGGACATGTACTTGAGCGCATCCGATTCAATGCCGTTTCAAGACATCCTGGACATCGACATAAAATCAGAGATTGAGTCTTTGGTCGGTGGCCACAATGACTTCTCGGGATTCAATTTCTCGGAACTACCTCCACTCGAACTCGAAGATGTCTCAGACATAAAATGGTTCTCTTCCAATTCGAACCATTCGAATTCCAGTTTGAATTTAGACTTCAACGGAGAAGAACGCACGACTATGGTTAATCCAAACGCTGTAATGCCAGCGATTTCGTTAGCCCAAAACATACGATCACCCTCTCCCACGTTAAAAGAAAGCCATTTGACGTTCTCGCCTTCAACTATTAAAATTTCCGCGATTAAACAAGACACGAATCAGGTGAAGAAAGATCTGTTGAAGAGGTTGGGCGACGACGAAAGAGACGACAAACCTCCCATTCTGAAAACAGTGAGTAAAATGACGCCGATCTTGGCCAAACCTCCCGCCAAAACGATAACGAAAACACCAACGTTACTCACATTTAGGAACACAGTAAATAAACAAATCCATTCGCCAATCACAGTAGCTCAAGTTAATAGTATCAATACGGTTAGAACTGTCTCGTCCACGACGGGCAGCCGAAAAATAAACAATCGATATAGCGAAGATGGAGAGAGGGTGTACCCAAAACCCGCTTACAGCTACAGTTGTCTAATAGCTATGGCTTTAAAAAACAGCAAGTCTGGTAGCTTGCCGGTTTCCGAAATTTACAATTTCATGTGTAAACATTTCCCCTATTTTATAACGGCACCTAATGGTTGGAAGAACTCTGTTCGACACAACTTGTCGCTTAACAAATGCTTCGAAAAAATTGAGAAGCCGGCTCTGAACGGAGCGCAACGGAAGGGGTGTTTGTGGGCTATGAATCCGGCTAAAATTAGCAAGATGGATGAAGAGGTGCAGAAGTGGTCTAGGAAAGACCCATCAGCGATCCGAAAGGCTATGATCAATCCAGAGAACTTAGAGTCTTTGGAAAGGGGAGAGTTGAAGTTTTCTTGTAGTTACGACGAAGGGGATAATTTTGGGGATTCTTGTGGCAGCGCCGAGAGTGAGGAGGGTTCCGATTACGAGCAAGAAGTAGAAGGCAGCACGAAAGTAGATTTCGATTATATTAACGAAACTACTATAAAAACAGAGACCGAGGAGGGTAGCGATTTGGACATTGAAGTAAACAGCGATCTCGATATAGAGGTAGTAATGAAGTTTTTGTAGTAGTATTTTGTATGAATGTGGTTTTTGATAGGTTTCCGATGGTATGTACGAAGACATAGAAGAAGACCAGGAGATGTTGAGAGTGGAGATGGCTTTGGCCCAGAAGGAACTAATGGAATACGAAAAGACAGTCAATAACAAAAGACGGAGGACGTACATAGTTCAAAATTAAATAGTATCAGTTCTAAGAACTTCATGTTGGTGTCCATCTGGTCACACATCTCCATTAAGTAAAGTGAAGCTGTGTAAGATTGGTGATAATTGTAAATAATTGTAACTTTCCTGCCTGTGTATTTCTTAAGATTACTTGATTCATTGTTTTATACTCGAAGACTGCCCTCTCTGTCTCTAGTTAAACACTAACTAGTTTTATTTTTTATGAAACAATGAATTGAACCTTAGTTGTTATATTTTGTATTGTAAAAACTGTAATTTGCCAAGACAGTATTGGAAGTAGATGTGGACTGATGGCAAGAGTTGTGCTTCGAGTGCGAATGCCGCCGCATTCACGCTGGAAGTTCTCGTGTATTTCTTTATTTTACAAAATGTGCCTTTGCTCCAAACTCAACTTCTGGGTCTTTATATTTCCTCTCGGTGGGACCAGTTCACAGATTTGTTTGTTCCGATTTTACTTGCGATTTTATTATTCTTTAACTTAATGTGTCATGTGATAGTTTGTCCTTGGTTGTTTTACACATAATTTATTTGGAGTATTATTGTAGCACGTTAACCGGTGTTAGATTTGTTTACACGCTGCATTGTAAGGGCTGGTCACCCCTTACACTACAGCCGAAGAGAAAGTCGATGTCAATCCGCATGTATGAGCTGCAGGTTACGAAAACGTCTGTATTAGGTAGGGTTTTTAATTTTTTAAGAGCAAAAGAGAACAGACTTTATTTTTTTAATTCTCAGCTTTCATTAGCTGTTCGGAAGTTTTGTACTATACTATGATTTTTTTATCTTAATTTTAAGTGATTTGTTAAGACGATGTACAAATTTGTTAGTTTTAATAAGATCCTTGTAAAAATAAAGTCATGACTTTGTACAGTGCATTGTTTGATTTCCTTCCATCAAAGATGATCGAAAGTCAAACGAGGGGATTTATTTTTACAAGCGATTCAAACCATAACATAGATGAATAGAAGTGACACGATTGTAGGTACATTAATTTCCAAATAAATGAACAGTTCGTACAAACGTTGTTTTTACTTACAACAATAAAAACAAAATATAAAATGTATCTCAAAACAACTTATAAAAAATATGGCAATAATACTACATACGATTGACTATAATTTAAATCACTTTAACTAGTTACGTCGACGGCTTGACTTTGTCGACTTTTGGGAGCTTTCCTCAAACTACCTAAGATATTTAAGAGTTCCGACACGGCTTTCGAGCCTTCCCTTTCTTTCTTATTTTCGTTTTTAACCTTCCGTAACGTAAATTTCCCCGACTTGATATCGTTAATGATGTTGTCGTTAACACCAGGCGTCGACGTTTTTCCATCAACTGCAGGCTCCTTGTCTTTAACACCAATAGCGTCCGCAAGGTCCGCAATATTGGTTTTAGATCTTCTCTTCACCCTCAGAGGCACAGTTGGCGGCTCGCTGTTAATAAGCAACGGTGGTGGTGGTGGGGGCGGCGCTGGAGGCCTCTTCAAAGCCTCCTCCGCCTTGTCCGCTCTTTCTAACGCCTCCTGCAACTCAGATTCCGCCAATTTAAGACGCTCTTCCAACACCTCCACTTGCGAATTTTTCTCCGCCATTTCTAGCTTTTCCTACAAAAAATCAATTAGTGTTTACACAACCCCGACGCCAGTCTTACTTGTAACGCATTTATTTCCTCCTCATGTTTATTCCTTTCATCTTCCAGAGTGCGCTTCAACTCTTCGACGTCCTGCAGCAAAACCATGAACTCTTCCTGATTCTCATTACTAAGTCCCTGCAGAAGCAGAGTGCTTTGATGTGCCAAAACATTCCTTTCTCTTTTATAGTCATCGGCTTCTTTCCTGCAACAATTGGTTTTCGTGTTTTTTACTCGCTATCACTTTCATATGCACAAAATCAAACAACTTTCCCTAACCTTGATTAGTTCTTACCTTAAGATCACTACGCTATTTCTTTGGTTTTCTTCCATTTCTTTCAAATTGTTGAGTTCCTTCTTCATCATGTCGGAAACGCGGATTATTTGCTCGTAGTCTTTCTTCAACTCGTGCATATCGTGCTCCAGTTTCTTGTTTTTGTCTTTTTCGGAATCTAAATCTTCGGATAGCTTGATATTCTGTTCGGACGTGGTGAACTCAATGTGTTTCAAAGTATCGACTTCCGTTTGAAGCTCAGCGACTTCCGCACTTAATTGTTTGATGGTTTTTTGGAGATTTTGGATGTCGGAGTCGCCGTTTGACTCTCCAGCGTCCACTCCTTCGTCCACGGTGTCGGTGTCCATTAACAACATGGTTTTTCTTTTGAGTACTTTGTTTTCTTTGTACCAGTTTGAGGCGTCCTGGAGTGCCCTAAAACCACCACGCAAACAATAGTGATTATATTTTGGCGCTTGTGGCGACTGTGGTACTCACTTTGACATTGCAGTCGTTTCAGTTTCATATTTATTTTTCAACGTTTCGTACTCCTTATACAAACTCTTCGACGCTTCAGATAACTTGGAATAATTTTCATTTTTCTCAAACAGTTCGGTTTCTAACTGTTCATTTTTTATTTGAAGATCTAAATGTTTCCTTTGCATATCGTTATACTGACGGGCAACTGAAAGAATCCCACATCATTAAAACTGTCCAAGACTGCGTTTTCATCCTCGAGCATGCACATAAAATTATTCTACTTAATTAAGCCGGTGTGGACCATTAATTCCGTGAGGAAATTGGTATTTATTGTTGCGTGTTTTACCGTATTTCAAGCTTTACTTAGTTATTAATGTAACGACGTGAATTGATTTGGAGCAACAACCTGTTCCGCGAGAATTTCATTCACATGAACTTGTTTATTTAAAGAAATATACAAGCCGCGATTGTACAACAAAATGGGAAATTAAAAAATTCGTTGCAAAACCAGAAGCAAAAATTTCGCAACCTCAATTAATATTGTATACTAATGGCATCGATTGTGCTATGGCCACCAACAGATGTGCTTTCATTGCCGATGCCAAATACGGATTATGAGTATTGTGTCAAGGCATTCTTACTCTTTTCTTTTTCGCTGAGAATATTCTTTCGTTTCTGTTCTGCATCCTCGTACTTGTGTTTCCACTTTTGTGCCTCTGGATTATTAATGGGTATTCTGGAGGGTGATGACGGAGGCGTCGAATGCGTGGAAGAATTCGAATTTACTCTATTTAAGGAGGCCTTCCGCAATGGAATGTTTGAATTGCCATTAGTCAATTTGTTTGGACTATTTCTATTACCATTCGTTAAGTTACTCATGTTCTGGAAAAAAAGACAATATAAACAAGTGCGTATCAGAATTTATTATTTTACCATAAATTAAGTCATTAAACCGCACGAATAAAACGACTGCAATCGCAAACCGGAATCGAGTCTATTTTGATGTGTTGCGTATATGGCGGTTTTTGTTGCAAAAAAGGCACGTTCACTGTATGCAAATTATTTACGTGACTATTTTCTAAATGAATGTTATGGAAGATTTACTGTTTTACCCTAATTTTTGATTCTCATGCTGTGTGCTTTCTCTGGAAGATGTGTTACTAGAATGCGGTTTCTAGTTAGGTACCACTTGTTTCTTTTTGTGTCTAGTTTTACATATTTCTCGGACATAAATTGGAAGAGACAATAAATGTCTAGAAATCGAAAACGAACGAATGCGGCGCATATTTTGTAGAATGGTTAAAATGTCTCTAATCGTTAAGTTTATTTTAAGACGTGTTTAAAGATGTAATTCGAGGATTACCAGCGAAGGAAAAAAGGATGATGAGATAACAGTGTTCTGTTTGCTGGGGCAAATATATTTTGCACACTAATTACTGAATTAAGTATTAATTAACAAACAGTCGTGGAAACAACGGTAATTAGATAAAGCGAAAACGAGAGAGTAACTGGAGTTTAGATTTACCTACCTCGATGATATCAGATAAAATGTAAAAAAATACCGGAAATATTACTAATATTATTGTTTTATTGGAAATGAGGTATTACGGAAAATTTGTTCTCAAAATACAGCAACTTATCGAATTTACCTAAATTAAGATATTTTACTGGGAATTCAGTTTTGTTAAAATAACCGAAAAAGTCTTGATAAAGACTTGCTTAATTATAAAGACTTCATTTTACCTTAAGTACCACTTAAAACATCATATGTAATTGTGTAGTTCCAATCTATGGTCTAATTGAAACTTTTAATATTCTTACTGGAGGTGTAAGATATTGTAGCTACTGAAAAGTGTATCTCTATCGTATATGTGACATCTGTGGGCTCGGAGTAACAATGAGAAACGCCATTTCTCTATACAAACCATCGATCAATATTTTTTCAAAAAAAAATAAATAAATAAATAAAAATGATTGAGTTTTGATCATTATCTCAAACGTTTTAGATAAGATTAACACAACTTAAGTCAAAATAAATACACATGTAATGAAAATGTATCTACTGAAACGAACAAAAACGTGTCATGATATCATTGATATATCATTTTATCACATTTCTAGGAATTTTTAGTTCCTGAAGTTTCAGCACGTACTAGAAAATCCGACTTTTAAAAAGTGAAGTAAAACTTTACAACTTTATCATTCACTAACTACAGTCGCAGCAATATTTAAAATTCCTTGAAGCAAAAACACGACTTTCATCAATAGGATCAATATTTATTTTGGGCTGTTCGTAAAATTGGATTAGTTGATAGCCAACTTAAATTAAGGTGTGTTTTACATACCGAGCGCCATAATTTCGGAGAGTTACTCTTTCGTTCTGTTTGTGTATCTATAAATCACTGTATTTTTAGGTTAACGAAAGTAAATTTCAAGACATTAACGAAAAACTTCCATAGAAAACTTGCTTAGTTATCTACCCGAACACTAAAATCGTTATGGGACTTACCCATACATCATAATTCGAACCCACTTAGCAATCAGTGAATCAAAAAATTATCAAATTTTTTAATGAATGGACTAGACGCGTAATTTCCGCTATTATTTTCTACTTAGAAATATAAACAAAGGAACTGTTAATCACAATGCGACGAAACTGATAAGACATCAACAATTATTACGGTCCATTGCGAACAAGACTTCCATCTCATTATCTGCCACAACAAAACAAGTAAAAAAGGCAATGAGGGTCGAAAACCGATTACCGCCAATCTACAGTTAGGTTCGTTATTTGAAAAAAAAAACGGTCACTATAGTTATGTTCGTAACACTTAATATTTGAAAAAAGACACTCACCTGAGGTCTTCACAGCAACAGGTACAATCTTGAATTGATATTGACATGTAAACAAAAGGCAAAGAGGTGTGTGTATGGTGAAAGTAGCATTAACGTGTCCTTTTACCGGCTCGAACGCATTATAGTCGCCTCGAGCTCGCTATACTACACCGTTCACAGTTACAAACTGACAACAAAATCTAAAGATATCTTTTTCCGTTTTGTAAGTATGCTATATTAGAGGAGGGAGTGACTCAACATATCGTAAAGATAAGTTAATACGCATGTCTTACTCATTTTTTTATAAGGTATTCATCATCTGCATGCGCTTGAGTAAGTTGCTAATTTTGCATTGTTTTAATAAAATATGGCCTGCACGAAGTTTGAAAAAATGTACACTTTCCTTTCAGTGGCTGAATGAATTAAGACGTGTTTATTTTTTTCTGTTAAGTAATTTAGCACAAGCGTAGGTTTAAGAATGATTATCGACATTTGTGTGGGTCGACTTAAATGAGTGAGTTATGATAATGTATTATATAATAGAATTTAGACAATTAGAGAAGATTGTTAGTTATGTTTACAATGTACATAAACAATTATCGCATAGAGGAAGAGTTCATGAACTTTTTTATTAATTGCGATTAAAAAGAAGCTGCAGTTGGTGCGTTGTACTGGGAGGACGTTAAATTGTAAATTGCAGCAAAAAAAAAACGCGGGTCGACGTCTGATGAACATAATGAGGTAACTGTACCATGTCGCGTCGAAATCTGAGGTGTGGCCCAAAAGTTGGTGTGTTATACAGCCCACTTTACACGCATTCTATTTTGGAACTCATTGTTATCAGCAAGAAAGTTGTGTAACGGATTCATCGAACGTATACAACCAGGTATACAGCATCGTTTAATTTAAAGTAGTCTACCTGAAACAGAACCTGAAATAATCTTTTTGCACTCATGACCTTTTTTGATAGCTTTCGCGCATTCACCAGAGTGCGGGAGGTCGAACTTCCCGCACACGTGCATTTAACTTCCCGTTGCCATGGTAACCTTAAAATACTCGGGTAGTGTCAACATTGTGACGTGTTGACGGCGCTGTCAATGGCGTTGTTTATAAATAACTCACAGTTAATCTCTTCAGTTTAAAGGTTTATTCGTCGCAAAAAATATTGTACACAACACGTTCGTGAGCCTGCTTCCCGCATTCACGCAAATGCGGCACTCCCTTCGGTCGTGCCTCAAACAAGCGTTCATGCGGGAAGCAGGCTATCCCGAACTAGTTGCGTAAATTACTATTTATGTACATTCCTGGGTGTAAATGCATTGGCATTTGATGATCCAGGAACTGATTTAAAATTATGAGTGTAGAAAATTTTGGCGGTTACCGTCATTTAGCTTCCTGCTGATTCCTCAGTCATCCTTCGACTACTTTATTTATGTGTACGTTTTAAACCTATTTAAATTGTTCGTCCTTTTGTTCATTAAATGCAGCGGAAGAATCTCGATGCATTCACGTTTCGATCATTTTCTGTCGCAGTTGTTATTTAAAACTTGTAAAATAATTTATTGCAAATAAACATTGTTTAACTTTTAAGAGCGTTTGTTGTTATTTTAATCTTAATCTATTTTATTTTTATCTTATTGCTGTTCCGATGATGAAACAAAATGGATTTTCTAATTAATCACCCTCAACCGATAACTACGCATCAACCGCTGATAGTAACTGTTATGGATGAGTTATTCTTATTTTATGCAACCGCTGATAGTAACTGTTATGGATGAGTTATTCTTATTTTATGCAAAAAATGTCCACCGTACAGCAAGTTCTCAAGATTTCATGATTACTGAATTCCTTTCATCTTTCCAACTTAACATTTTCTGTATGTCTTATTGTGGCGAATTTTTTCTTGTTTGCTCAACGTTTCATAGTTTATAAAATACAACAATGTTAGCTTCTCGTTTCGGCCTGTCTGTTAACGATTTTATTAGAATATCCGAGATTATTAGACTGATTACTGTTAAATTTTACGTAATTTTAGTGTAGAGAGCAAAACAGTAACCAGAATTTTTTTGTCACAAATTTTGATAAATACAGAGTGCTGAAAAAGTGGCGTACCAATTCTATGACACGTTGTTGAGGATTATTTACAGCTCAGAGAAAAAATTATTTAAAAAATTCTTCGACACAAATGTAGACAATCTAGCCCTTCAAAATTCAACTTTTATTTTCAATATTTCACCATATTCTAATTCACCACTTAGTGTTGGGTACATGAAATCAATTAGACTTCCATTATTCAAAATAATTTTGGAAGTATCTTGTTTTCATTCGAAGTTTTCTTCACTTTATAATATAACAAAAAACTTAAAAATTGTTTCGGATGAATTAGACTACGAATAGACTGGCTAATTTTTACAGTTTTTTTATTTATCGGTCTAAATCGATATTTTGTTTCTGTAAATGAACATCAAATTGACGTATGGAATTTTTTAATGATTTTTCCCGAACTCAGACTTGCGAACTTAATAATGTACCGTTGAGATGGTGCGCCATTTTTTAGCAGCCTATAGATCTCGCTTAAAATTTATATTACTTAAATGTTTTTTTAAACCTAAACTTACGAGTTATCGTAAAAAAAATTGGAAAATTAAATTTAAAAATTTATTTTGGAACCGTCATAATGAATCTTTATAAAATTTGTTAAGGCACTTACATTAATTTAATGTTACCAAATATCTATTAAAATGTATTTAATCATCTCTTCGGGAAAGTTGATAACGTTAACTCAAAAATTTGTTAAATAATGTTTGTTAAAAAATATATTTAGTATTGTTTGTACTTTCTATTATAGTTAAAAATTTTAGCTCCAGTTTCGGACTGAGTTTATTCGGAAATTTAAAAATATTATAATTACAAATTAATATCTCTTTAATTACGTGTAGTTTGTCAGTAGTTATAATCATGAACAGAGGAAGAAAAACATTTTTCGTGGGTTGCTGTTTCAATTATTTTAATCATGAAAATTTGAAATGCATATGTTGTTTAATAATAAAGTTTGCAAATTTTTTAGATACAACTTACCTCGAAGTCACTATGGAAGTTTTATGATTTTACAGGAAAAGGGGCAATAGTAAAGCTAAAGAAACATGCTTCAAGCAAATTTGTAAATTTAGGCAAATGATTGAGAATTATAGTAATAAAATAAATTGCCTGATTCATTAATTTTTTTGCTGTTTAAGCAATTCTAAAAAATATTAATAAAATTGGGGAATAAAGGGATATATTTTAATTAACAATTTACCATGCTTTACAATAACATTAAAACATTTGCAAGAATTCAGAGTATTCGGTTTTATAGTTTCAAGGTTAAGGGGTCTCGCTAGACGAGGTATAATATTTTTTTGATTTTTTGTATGAAAAAATGATATTAATATAGATGTATCATACATCAAACTGCAGCTTTTTTTCATATTCTAGAGCGCAGAGACCAGTTTAATCAACTAAAAAAATATGGCTGAGAAATATCGTAAAAAAAGCACCATTGTATGTTTTCTTTTCAAGTTTTTTGAGTTATAACCATCATAGAATCGCTTGAAAATTCGCACATGGATGAAACATCACTTTTTACAGGGCGCAGAGTCATTAAATGTTTATTAGTGGTACAATTTGTTTAAATAATAATGTGTTTATTAAAGTCAAAATATACCACAAATTAATGCAAAATACGTCGAATAATTTTAACAGGAATATCAGAGGAAAATTAATGATCTATTGGTTAGCAGAGTTTTTAACAAAAACTAACAATTATTGAAAAAAATGGGTATCAATTCGACAGAATTTGAGCAGTTAGTTCAGTACTTTGCCGATAGGAGCGCCACTAAAATTTTAAGATTATAAAGAGCATAATAAATTTTTAGTCAAAATATATTTGCTTATCCCCTCCAAAAAATTGATGACGTCAGCTCAAAAGTTTGTCGTATAATCCTATTTAAAATTTACAAAATATGATGAGTCTCTTCTTGTAATTTATCATTCCATTCATATTTTTTGGATTCGGATATACAGGGTGATTCAAAAAATTTAATGAATGCTCAAATTTATTTTATTGATTTAATCAGAAACTACAAAACCGAATGCTTTGAAATCTAATGTAAAAAAAAAAACATAATAGGCATGCAGTCGTCACGTTTCCGATAGCGACGGAAGTACTGTCTAAACTCTTTAGACCAATTTTTTTTATTTTCCCATTTTTCCATTTCTCAATTTTTCAATGTTTCAGTTTGGGATTTTTTCACTGTTTCGATTCTTTAATTTTCCTTCCATTTTTAGGTTTTTCAATATTTCAGCTTTGGAATTTTGCAATATTTCGTTTCTTCAATTTTTCAAATTTTTGATATTGTGTTTTCTCCGTTTTTAAATTTTTCGATATTTTAATTTTTCAGTTTTTAAAGTTTTAGCTTTTTAGATTTCTCACTATCTCGACTTTTCGATTTTTCAGTTCCATGATTTTTCAATTTGTCGAATTTTTAAATTTTAGATTTTTTATTCTCAATCATTCAATTTCTGAGTTTTCAGGCTTAGATTTTTTTTGTTGTTCAATTCTTGGATTTTTAAAATTTTTGTTTTTTAAAATTTCCTATTTATCAACTTACTGGGATTTCAATGTTTTGATATTTTGATTGTTCAATTTCTCGATTTTTTGAATTTTTAGTTTTTGATACGATTTTTTTTTTCAAAAATTTTCAGTTTTTCAATTTATTAACTTTACGATATTTCAGTTTTACGATTTTTAATTTTTTTTATTTTTCAGTTTTCAATTTTTGACGTTTCTAAATTTTTCGATTTTTTGATTTTCCCATTTCTCTATTTTTTGATTTTTCAATTCTTTCTTCAATTGTGATTTTTCAATTTTTCGATTTCTGAATTTTTCAATGTTTCAGTTTTGGATTTTTTTCTCTTTTCCGATTCTTCAATTTTCTTTCCGTTTTTCAGTTTTTCAAGATTTCAGTTTTGAATTTTTTCACTTTTTCGATTTTTCAATTTTCCTTCCATTTTTCAGTTTTTCAGTATTTCAGTTCTGAGATTTTGCAATGTTTCGGTTCTTCAATTTTTCCATTTTTTTGATGTTTCGATTTCTCGGTTTTTCAAGTTCTCGGTTTAGATGTTTTGGTTTTCCAATTCTTCGATTTTTAAATTGTTTAATTTTTAGATTGT